GAATTTTTTAAATCGGTCCAGTACTTTTTGAGCCAATTCGTTACAAACATACTTACATACAAATCTTTCTTCTTTTTAATATTATATTAAGTATAGATATCGACAATAAATTCAACTGGGAATATCATAAAAATTACGTATGTTCGAAACTAAGGTCTATTCTAAGCAAATTTGCTGTGCTTAAATATAAGCTTCCATACAGAACCCTCAGATTAATGTATATGGCCTTAGCTGACTCAGTTATTGGCTATGACTTGAGCAGTTATGGTTTGACATATGATACATATTTGAAAGATATATACAGATTACAAATAAGAATCTTAAAAACTATTGTTCCAAAATATATTAAAAATAAATATAAAGAAAATTATGGTGAGTTGTTTAACCATTGTCAAGTGTTGAGTGTATATGATAAAGTCAAATTTTGTGTTTTAACAGAATATAACAGTGCTCATAATCTACAGACTCACCATCGTCCAGAATACTTGCGTAACCTTAATTATAAAAAAATGGTTGCCTGTAAAGTCGGTTTTACGGGCGAAGATTTTACGTGACAACGTCTTTTTCTCGGTAGAATATTTATTGATATGAATATAATTAAATTGCACAATAGGAACAAGGAATTGAATGAAAATAAGAATTGCACAAATTTTAACTATAGAAATATATTTTGTTTACTAAAACATTGTACATGTAAACTTAAACTTAACACGAGAGACTCATCGTAACGTTACCGAGCGTTACACTTTTTCATAAGTGACTCCCAGCCGCAACCTAATTTAAGACGTTGTCACGTCAAAAATATCTCCTACCAAAAACCAACAATGTATATGGTTCGAGAACACTAAAATATGTTATTCCTAAATGAAATGCCCCCCAGTATTCAAGAATTGTATATGAAAGATAACTGTAAACATAAACTTAAAAAATATTTGTTAGAGCGAATCGCTGTAGACAGATAAACCCATGTTTAAGGGTTTTTTAGATACAGCCATTGTATATCAAAAATGTAATTGATTTGATTGAATAAATATATAAATAAAATAAATAAAAAATAACTTTTTAACACGCTTTTACTAGGTCGACCTGTGGGCCAATCGCCTAACCAGATTGCTTTGGAAAACGCTATCGCTTACGATTTCATTTTGTTATTTCTAACCGCCGAAATACATCACGCTCATTTTCTTTAACATTGTTATTACCAATGCAAAAGAAAAAAAAAGAGCGCGAGGCATTTGAAAACCTCAGGGGGCAAGAAATAACAAAATGAAATCGTAAGCGATAGCGTTTTCCAAAGCAATCCAGTTAGGCGATTGGCCCCCTGTTTGTAACTATGCAATGGAATCTAAGGTAATTAATTTAACCATCTTTCAAGGATCGTAGCTTAATGAAAATTGGCAGCTGTATGTAGTTCTGATGACGATTCAATAATATGGTACTGTCGAACTGATCTGATGATGGAGCCGGAAGATATGAACTGGAACTTTATGATATAACATCGTATCATAGCTGTTTTTGGATTTCTTAGAAAAGTCTTGTAATGAACTTTGACCACGATTAGGTTTCAATGTCTGATGATGAAGCCGGAAGATAGGCACTGGCATTGCATGATGGAATATGGTATCATAGTAGTGTTTGCGCTTGTGTGAGAGGCCACGTAATGGACTTTGAACACGATCAGGATTCAAGGTTATAACAAACCTTATATATTGACTTGTAAATGTTGAGAGTAAATATTCACATAGGTGCCTGCATAAAATAAATATAGAACTGTACATGGAGAGTGTAAATAGAATAATATTGATATATCTATATACGATGTATATCGACGTGTAAATAATTTATTAGGTTGTTAAAGATCCCATCCAAGCCAAGGTGAGAAACGTGCCGAGGGCCGAATGGCATGATAAGGGTGGTTAATAATATCATGTCGCTTGAACGCCTTGAGGGTCGAAGAGCTCAACAGCGAGCATCTCGCAGTATTGCTGACTAAGGTCTCATCAAATGCTACTGTTAAATATAAGTAATTTAAAGATCCCTTTTGGGAGCGTAGGTTCGTATCCTACCGGCTGCGCAATGTTAAATATAAGTAATTTAGAGTAAAAGTTGTTAAAATAAAACCATTGCTTTTTGCGTCATCTCTGTCAAGGGACAAAAATATATTTCTTTATAAAAAAACATGACAATTAAAAAAGTTTCTCATACAACAGCTACCGGCGAGTTTGCGTTTGAAAAAGCATTGCGTATTTATCCAACAAACGACCAAGTAGAGAAGCACAACAATGAAGTTCATAAACTTTACAAACGAAAGGTAGTCGAATGTACGTCATAAAAGCTCAAGACCAACTTATTGCGCGACCCGAAACCTTAAAAAATACTTCACTGGAGTCCATTATTAAGAATTTTCAAAGGGGCTAAAATCACGTTGCTATCCAATATAGACGTGGAGAAGGGGCTAGTAAATTTAAAATGTAAGCCAAGTATCGGATTCATCTCGGACATCGTCTGGCCGCACTTTAGACGCGACCAAATGTATGAAACTGACATACCGCCCTTCAAAGATAATTTCGGAAACGACGGTGAGCACCTAATTCAGCCTATAGGCATCCAGTTCCCGTCCAAGTAATTTTAAGTTGGGCATCAATCGTGCACAAGATGCAAGGCTGTACGGTAGACCACGCAGTGGTGTACTTAGGGTCAAGTACTCGTACTTTTGCAACTGGACAGGCGTATGTGGCCCTAAGTAGAGTAAAATCACTTAGTGGTGTCCAGATTGAAGAGCTAGATTGTTCTAAGCTGACAGGTAAAATACCATGCAATACAGACGCACTGGTAGAGATGGAGAGGATGCCGGCTCATTCAACTACTTAAAATATATGTATACTTAAATGTTAAAAATATTTCGTTATCAAAGATTAAAAAGTATAAAATAATTAATTTTGGGTTTTTTTAGTTATTCGATCCTGCAGATGAGAAAACAATTAGAACCCTTCAACTGTCAGTACAGTGTGCAGTGCACAGTTTGATGATGTAGATTTTATAATTACAGCTAAGGGGCTACGTTGTTTGGTTCCGTACGCAATTTGTGCGATTTATCTTATACTCGTATATAAAATTCTCGTGTCACAATGTTAGTTACCATACTCCTCCGAAACGGCCTGACTGTTTTTTATGAAATATTATATGCATATTCCGTGGGTCTGGGAATCGTCTACTATCTATGTTTCATATCCTTAAGTGATAATGGTTGTCCACCTGTAATCTACAATGCGCCTTCGCGTAAAAATTCAAACTATTGGGTATTGTAACGTAGTGTTCTCATAGGGGTTAGGAGGAATGTTATCCCAGAAAATTGATAGAACAACACCCCATAGGGTGCGGCCAGAATGCACTCAGATTCAGATTCAGATTCAGATTCCGAAAACAAGCGCGAGAAATAAACAGTGTAGTCGAAGGGTACGGCCAGAGTGCACTCCTGATTCAGATTCAGACTCAGAAAACAAAGCGCGAGAAAAAGCAGGCAACCTGCTTAGACTACACTGTTTATTTCTCGCGCTTGTTTTCGGAATCTGAATCTGAGTGCACTCTGGCCGTACCCTTAGGGTGCGGCCAGAGTGCACTCAGATTCAGATTCAGATTCAGATTTCGAAAACAAGCTCGAGAAATAAACAGTGTAGTCGAAGGGTACGGCCAGATTGCACTCCTGATTCCGATTCAGATTCAGACTCAGAAAATAAAGCGCGAGAAAAAGCAGGCAACCTGCTTAGACTACACTGTTTATTTCTCGCGCTTGTTTTCAGAATCTGAATCTGACTCTGAATCTGAGTGCACTCTGGCCGCACCCTTACGCGGTACGAAGTTCGCTGGATCAGCTAGTTAATCTATAGAATACTATCTGACTCGGCGAACTTCGTACCGCCCAAAAGTAATAATTTGCAATAAAATAATATTGCTACTATAAATTGAGATGTAAGCTATCGCATCTTTCAAGTTGGATCAAAACTGCACACGGTGTACAAATTTGATATATCGGTTAAGTAGTTTAGGAATTCATCCCGGACAAAAAACGTGACGCGTAATTTATATATTAAGTTTATATAATTTTCTCAAAAACAAACCAAATCTGTCAAGGTTTTAGGCAGGACTCAAATCTGCGTGTTACGCTGACCGGGCGAATTTACTAACCCCTAGCATTTGTGGTAGTTCCTACAATAAAAATAATTTAAATATCAAGTTCCCAATTAGCCCTGATTGCACTGATTATTTATTTATTATAAATGTATATTATTAACCTCATACTTAATATTAAGACATTTATTTACATTTAATATGTAAACAATAAATTTCTTTATACATAGCAAGTGTTTTCTTTTCTATGCTATTCTTTTCTATGCTTATGCATCATGTTTCTGAAGTGCAACCGTTTAAATTGCTGAAATATCGAGAGTTCACAAAGAGTAAAACACGTGGTAAATATCCCTTTATTATAATATACATATATTTGATTACATAATGTTAACAAAGTTTTAGTTTGCGAGATTTAAAAAGTAGGGAAATTGATAATTTACCCGACAACCCTCAAATCACGCACACGCGGTAAGCGGGCGGCCATTGGGATGCTTGACTCACGAACACGATTAGACGAGGTTACGTCCGTCTTTTTTTCAGGTCCGTGATAATAATTATAATAATATTTGATTGTAAAAGACGACAGGAAAGACTTTTTGTATAACGTATAACTCAATTATATGTATAGGTATAATACCTATTATATCGTTGATTTTTGTTGTGTTTTGCATCCAATTTTAAACGAGGTATATGCGGTAGCAATGACAATAGAATAGACATACCACTTTAACAAGAATTAATGTCTGTGAGTACGACCGCACGTGAGCGAGTTTAGCGAGCGCATGCGTAACAGTAGGGTGCGAAGTTCGACAACAAGGTACCACCAACTGTGTGATACGAACTGATCAATCGAGTTTATTGATCTGTTTCATCCCCAAACCAACCCTTACGATTCCAAAGTTTAGAGGGGCATGAAGTGCAATAATATGGGCTCTAAATAAGCGTTACGCGTTGCAAATGGGTAAAGACTAAAATTTTAACAAATAGGTACAAAATGGTTAGTGAAATACGTCTATGTGTGTGTATCAGTTAATTTATATTGTTTTTACCACTTGTTGTTGCTAGCGGCTCACATGTCATGTTTTGGTGTTAATGTGTTTGTGTATATTATAAATATAAGTGTTCAGTTTAAAGTATGTAGGTACATATATATTTATGGTAAGCGAACAGACTTCCTAATTTATAAAAAAAAAACTCAAATCCATTTTACCAGTTTAGGCTTTTACAAACGCATATACTTACATTTCGTAAAGCTACGCTTATCGGTTCTCTTCTCAAATCTACGACAGGCGACCTTGTACTAAGAAGAACCAGCAATACTGCGAAAAGCTCCTTCATGCAATGCCGTCAATAGGGAAGAAGCATGTTTTTTATTCATAATTTTATTTAGTAGTTTACGTCGCCTTCATACAGTATACAAAAAAAAGCTACGTGGAAAAAATAGTTTAAAGTGCCACTCTGCACGGGCAGTTTAAAAAATATTTAGTAAAATATGTTTTTACATCACAACCACTCTTGTCGCGTTTTAACTTTAAAGTAATAGACTAATAGAGTTTATATAAAATTTAAATGAAGCTTATTTGAATTACATGCATACTTTATTACCTATTGAAAAAAAAACTCATAAAATAACCAATGGAGTAAACAATTTTATGTAATTACTTTTATATTATTGTAAATTTTCTCTGAAAATACCTGCATACTGCCTGTCAATATATAATAATATCTAGAACTTTTACTAGGTACAACTGCGGACGTATTTTCATAAAGTTGAAGAAGTTGTTCACTGAAGTGTGAAAATATAATTATATTTTTGATGCCAAATTATAAAACAAATAATTATTGTTATCCCTTATCACCACTCACTTAGGAATCTTGAGGTATAAAAATAGACTACGACATATTATTGTCAGACCAAATATACACAAAAAGGAACCATAAAAATCGGTGAAGCCGCTTGGGAGGAGTTTGATAACAAACACTGTGACACGAGAGTTTATTTATTTTACTTAAGTCAGTATTTATAATTAAGGATATTTTTAGGAAGTCAGATTTATTTTGATACTAGTGGCCCGCCCTCGCTTCGCTTCGGTGTAGAGCTGAAGTGTACACAAAAATTATCCTTATAGCAAGATTCAGTATTCACGTGCGACGGCGCAATGGCTTATTTCATGTATAAGTTTGGTGTTTCTATACCGATTTCTATGATTCTTTTTTTATTGAATAGGTAATAATGTTAACTTTTTTAAATTAGGGATGAGTGAGAGTATTATAAACGTAAGAGTAAACAAATATAATCAGAATGCTCCGAACTGCTAAGCTATCAGGAGTTACACGTGTTATTGTGAGTCAACCATAAAAGATAGACATATGCTGTTGCAGGATATTTTTAGACAATTTAATGTAAAATATTTTCGCCATACATGATTTCTATGTAACTTTAACCATCAAGGCTGCACATGCAACGGAAGCTAAAAAAATGGAGTAACTTCTCCCGTTTTCCCAACATTTCCCTTCACTTCTCTGCTCCTATTGACTGTAGCGTGATGAAAAGTATACTATAACCTGCCCAGGAATATAAAGAATAATTGTACCAAGTTTCGTTAAAATCCGTCGAGTAGTTTTTGTTTCTATAAGGAACATACACACAGACAGACAGACAGACAAAAATTTTATTGATTGCATTTTTGGCATCAGTATCGATCACTAATCACCCCCTGATACTTATTTTGAAAATATATTTCATGTACAGAATTGACCTCTCTACAGATTTATTATAAGTATAGATTAGATATTTTTAGGCTTGGAAACATTTTTATTCAGAAAAATGCCGCAGTTGGGGAGCGTAGGTTTTACTTTTTGCCGACCGGGCTGGAGGTAAAATATGCTGCCCCTTAGCACGAGAAAACAGTTTTTTACAAACTACAATCACTATTTGGCATTTTTTGCGAGCCTTATATTTGTTTAGCACTTCGCCGATGAGAATTAGGTTAAGGGAGATATATTATTGAAATTGCTGACCTCCAAAAACGCGCAGTCCCGCCATATTATGTAAAGTATTTAAGTATTCTTTGGATTTTTCACCAAGTAGGTAGTACCCACTAGATACCTAAAATTTATTCAAAATAACTAACATGGTTTTGTTTCTGGCTAGATTTAGGTAAATGACGTAAGTTCACTACTTACCTCTATTATAATTTCTCTGCCAGGACACAAGTGCTATGTCAAGTTCCGGCCTTTTGGAATGGGAATTTTCTTTGCCTTCCGACCAAATCATATCCCATGGGTGGTACCACGGCGCCCTCAGCCGTACTGCCGCCGAGAACCTGCTGCAGCAAGATAGGGAGTTCCTGGTTCGAGATTCGTCATCGCAACCGGACAACTACGTGCTGAGCTGTCGGTCTAATAGTCAACACCTGCATTTTGTCATACAACGGGTAAGTTGTATGATATTCTCCTACAATTTCGTGCGATTAGAGAAAAATATAAACAATAAATATGATTCCTCAATATATATTTTTCAGCAATATTGTCAATGTCAAAGTAGCGAACTCGACAGACGTTACGTATGCGAGATAACTGATAAGAGTTAGTGCCACTGTCCACGGAAGCGTAGCTTCATAGGCGCGTATTCGTCATTATAAGCTTAGTGTACGCCTGCTTGTAAGTTACATACAAAACTATGTTACTCTGTCGACGGAGCAGCAACGTTACGCTCGTCGAGGCTACGCTTCCGTTGACAGTGGCACTAAGCCTAGAGTAGCAGCTTCAACCTTATTTAAACTAACAGAGTTATTTTACAGATTGTCGTTCATCCCGATACAGTCTATGAAAGATACCAATACCAGTTCGAAGACGAAGCTTATGATACGGTCGCTGATCTGATTACCTCTTATGTTGGTTCAGGAAAACCAATATCAGCAGCTTCGGGGGCCAGAATCCAATATCCAGCAAACCGTCTGGTACCCCTGACTAATTATATACAAAGTGATGATTCGGTTAATTCAGTCGTATCCCCCGTTGGAGATGCTGGAAACTATGGAAACCCTTATAGTTTGTACAGCCATTTTGCTGCCAAGCCTGGCATGCAACTACGAGTTCCATTCAAAAAGCAACGATCACATTCCTTGACACCGATCGATATAGGGCAACATGTGAATCATGGGAAAAGTGCAAGCGCTGATGGTGTCATACAAAGTCAGACAAACAAACACAATAAGAACCTAAGTGAGTGCAATTCGAATTCTAGTACTTGGGATGCGAATTTACCAACGAGTCCCCCGGCAAAACCGGCTAGGTACGATGGCCCCAAAGCTGACGACCGAAGACTTGAACTACAGAGGCTTTATCACGTGTCAGGGTCGGACTCTGGGAACGGATCAGGAGATTCCACTCAAAGCTCAGCTCACAGTGACCCCAATAAGTCTAGGATCGACTCTGACTACAACATTGTCACACCGACCATAAAGCAACAGTTTGATTATGAGCTTACTGAAGCGAGACTATTACAAGCAGAAAATCTTGACTACGTAGTAGAATCGCGGATAAACTTGGAAGGTTTTCAGTCCCAAATTATTTCAACTGGACTCACGAAGCCATTGGAGTCGGAAACACTTCATACCATAAAATTACTTTTACGAACTTCAGGTCCGAGGATTTTGGCGAACCACTTGACTAAAGTAGATTTTATTTTTTTGTTAGACGAATCTATTCAGATTGAGGGGCTAGAGAAAACGGCATCTGGATTGGAATTGTGCTTCTTACCACAAGGCAGGCCACTTCGTTTTGATGTGATTGAAAGGTGGGTTACCAGAAAGATTTTAAGAAAATAAATAAACGAGGCTATTTCTAATAGACATTTAGTACATAGTAATGTAATTATTATCTATTTAGGTGATTGCTTTCTTTTCAACAGAGTCGAAACATTCCGGCTTTTAATAGCTGTGACTATCTTGACCTGCCAAACGGATAGGCAAAGAGCTGATACTATTAACGATTGGATTCTGTTGGCGATCGAAACTAAAACAGCTCTTGGCAATCTGTACGGATTCTCTGCCATAATGTTTGGATTGTGTATGCCACAGGTGAGACAACAAAGTACCTATGCCCATATTTTATAAAAGAATCTGAAAAAAAGTTCATCTATATAAGGCAGGGCAGGCGGGGCTGTGGCCCCGGGACCACTACAAGAGGGGATACCTCATAACAGAGATAAAAAATAACCAAATTTTGACGGGTTACCAATCAGGGCCTCCACTCCTTCGATGCCCCCACATCTCTAAATCCGGGTTTTTTTTTAATAAAAAAAAATTGACTTGCCTTAAGAAATACTAGAGAAACTTCGACACAGCCATCAAGGTTGCGGTAGCATAATGGTCAGTGCATCCGCCCGGATAGCGGAGGGTGCGGGTACGAGTCCCGTCTGCTGTCTGGCCCGCGTGGATTTTTTTCTAGTAAAATATTTTCTTTCGATCTAAACACGTAGCAGTTAAATGCTTAAAAAATAAAACTGTACTTTACATTGACTAAAATTTATACTTATAGGTGGAATGCTTGGAGAATGCATGGAACATATTACGTCGCGTATACACAGACAACGCGTTCATGTTTGAAGCTAAGTTGCGACCGTGTTTCAAGAGTATGAACGAGGGTACCAATCCTTTGCCACCGAACACAACTACCCCATACATTTTGCCACCTGTGTTGTGCTTTCATTTATTCGGCAAGTATCGTGACATGAGATATAGTTTCCTACACTTATTTCAAATGCTCATTTACTATTAAACACGATTAGATTGACCTAGCAATTATTGTTCGTACTGAGGTCGATTCAGATGAGAATAAAAACTGTGCCCGATTTCACTCGGTCGCTGAAATAATGTCGGCTTGGTATTTTTTTTTCTGGTGATAGTATAGACACCAATTTTTTCTTTGAACGCAAAATCAGTGATATCAAATGACAAATTTATTTAATTATTCGTTCTTTATGAATTCTCCTGTATAAAACTCATCTTTTCAAGCTTTCGCGGAAAGCCACTTTGTAATGTTTGTAACTAACAACGAAAACAAGAATTACTGACAATTAAAATTTGAAAATTACCAACTAAAATTACCATTGTGTTTCAGAACACAATTGTCGTTGAAGTAAGATACGTACAAATGTAACTTAACAAAATGCGTCATTCTTATGTCGGTGACTTATATCGATTTGGTGAAATAGGGCCCAGATTTATAGAATATGCAATTTTAACATTATAATAATATTACCTGCGCAGACGAGGGATAATTCTTCGAAATACTTTTCTGACCTTAAAAGTTATTCAAACTGTGTTAAATAACGCATACAACATATTAAAAATACCGCATACGAAAAGTTCCCCAAAAAACCGAGAACGGCAATAGACTGTACTAGGCAAAGTCCCCGGAGAATAAATCCATCTCACTGAGTATGTTTCGTAAGAAAATATCTATTTATTAATCAAATAAAGGGATGGTCTCAGTATAACGGGATATAACGTTTTTGAAACGTTTTCTGTTTTTATTAAACTTCGTGAAGGTAGCCTACCTAATCTCTGAAGATTTATTTACACAGCGTGTGCTTTACTTTTTCAAGGACGTGGAGTCCATGACATGGCATGTTCTCGGCGGACATTCTTGATTTTTGCACTCTGTGGAAGGTCCCACGTCTGCGCAGGCCTTATTAAAACACTCTTGAGTCTTATTACATTATGGAGCAGTCTATAATTCTAATTTCATTCATTAATATTAATACATGAATTTTGCTGTTGTTTTACTCCTAAGTTATTTTAATATATTTGTGCACCCGCTACTTATTGTAAAATCTTTTTGGACGTGTGTTTTTTCATAAAAAGCGGAAAGCTCTCATGATGTTTGTTTTTGAACCAGACGGTGAGGGTGGAAGTCTGATGCCTCCCGATGACACGTTCCCGAGTAGTTTGATGAACAGCATGGAGTTCGATTTCAACGCCACAGCGGCACATTTGGAGGCAGCTCGCCATTTCCCCGTTCAAGTGGACATGTTCAAACGAAACGCCAGGACGGTGATCCAGGAGATGTCTTCACTGGGCCCTTCTTTAGACCCCACCTTACTAGAACTCTTCCGGACAGAATTCCACATCAACTTCCTATGGGGTGAACGCGGCGCGTTGACGACTCCTTACCAGAGGTTCGCGAGACTTACCGATATTTTAACGACGATGGCTAACAAATTGGCCAACCAGTGCCAGTCTTTAGATGGTAACGATGTAGTTTGAATTTCCACAACAAGAAGCCTTAATGTAAAATATTGGGCCATAGTCTTAGAATTATTCTAAGGCCATAGAGCATTTTAACATCAAAAAGGTCAAGAAATAACCTTGCTAACCAATTTTTACACTGCCTAGATGTTTAGTACCTATACCTATTCTTTTTCTAAGTATTTGTATTCGTAATAGGTATATATTATCTATGTTAGGTGGCTAATTCAATTAGGGAGTATAAAAGTATAACTACTTATAACGACAGCATAAAACATCATATCAAAAATATTCTACATATTCATGTATAAACGCTTTAAATAAAACCTTCTTTTTTAATTTTGAGTTTACAATTTAATTAAATTAATATAAACACCATTTCATGCACCAACCTCATGGTAACTATTGCACACACGGCTGCGCTACCGCTTTGGTAGTATGACATATATATATGGACTTATTAATAGTAAGTCCAATATGAGCGGTATATAATTTATATAGGTAGTGTTCAGCCGTTTACTCATTCTCGTAAATATCAGTTTCTGCACGCACACATTGCTGCCAAAAATATGAAATAGACTTCTGCGCAAGTTATAACTAGGTACTGCATTAAAATATCTTATAACTTACACTAAAACATAGATAGGTAAGAACATAACTATTTTAGTACTTAATACAATGGTATTACCGATTATACCTTGGACAAAGAATCTCGCTAAGCTTAGGATTTTACAATACTTATACGAAGTTATATACGTATATATCATGAAAGTATTCAATGTGGTAATTTAGTAGGAAACCTTTATAAATCGTGCATTTGATTAGTAATGATAATTTTCGCATAGTTTGAGTACCTACTTTTTATTTTTTTTATTATTATTAAAACAATTAAAACAATAATTTAGTTAAAAATATTAGAAAAAGTTCTTCTACTTATCTACTATATAAAAATAAGTCGGGTTTTCCTTCCTGACGCTATAACTCCAGAACGCACGAACCGATTTCCACGGTTTTGCATTCGTTGGAAAGGTCTCGGACTCCGTGAGGTTTATAGCAAAGAAAATTCAGGAAAAATTAAAAAAAAAAACTTCTTTTAATCACCAAACGAAATGTTACATAAAACGAAGCCATCTGGTGGCGAAACGGTGTTCGCCGGGTTTGCTAGTTCTTAGTAAATATTGTACATAAAAAAAAGAGTATATGTGCAACAACGATATTAAATACCCATGTGAAAATTTAAAATGTGTTTCTTCTAGGGTGTCAAGTCAGTGCGAGCTGATAGCGGAGTACCATACCTATCAATTTAACCCCCATGTATGTTCTACGATTTTGGGTAGTTTTCGAGTTAGATTTTTTTAAGTTCGACGATGTGACAACTTTTAAAAAGTATAACTTCTTTTTGGGTCGATTTTTCTCGAATTTTTTTTTGTTAAACATCCTGTATATGCAGGTGTCTTTTTTAAATCGGTTAGTATGGGAAATTCTGAAACTTAAAGACATACGAAGATCTGTTGTTAGGAACCATGTCATCGATTTTAATATGAAGAAAAATTGCATTCATACATTTAAAAAAAAACCTGAACTCAGCTGGGGAATCTAACTCGGTTGTTTAAAAAATTAATAAACTTACAGTATTTCTATTTAACAGTTAAATGGCTCTATGGCTCATGATGTCTAAAATGAATAAAATGCATTTTTTTCACATACTTTAATTTAATTTTAGTAGATGTTCGAAGTGACCACCGTTTTTTCAATACAATATTCAACACGCTTAGGTATCGATCTTACAATTGCATTTTGTATCTTCATGTGGTAAATTGGCGTTTAAATTTATTCTACGGTTGCTTTTAGATCTTCAATGAGGTCTAGTAGCAAAGAGGTACAAACAACTATAGAGACAATTTTACATTCCTGAAGTTGTTGAATACCTATTGTAATGGTGGTCACTAAAATAAATTAAAGTATGTGAAAACAATGCATTTATTTCATTTTAGACATCATGTTTCATAGGGTCACTTACTGCTTAAGATGTACACAATCGATATCTAAATAGACATAGGCTAAGTTTATTTTTTTGAAAACAACCGGGTACGATTACCTAGCTGAGTACAGGTTTTTTTTAAATATATGAATGCAGTTTTTCTTATTATTAAAATCGATGACATGGTTCCTAAGAACAATGAAATGAAATAAAAGTTTATTTGCATGAAACATAGTTTCTTACAGTTGGTAAATAATATAAAGTTCCATATGTTTCGCCCTTGGAAGAGCATACAAAAATCTAATAAATTATTCAAAAAATGAAATTAAAATTGGTTAATAGTTGCATTCCAATATATAATTATACAATACATGTCCCGTAACTTTTTAGCCATAAATTTTATAGGTCCGTGCTTAAATTTATTTTGAATTCTGTTGTATACCTTAATGCACATGTTATAACAGCTTTTCTGGTACACCGGGGTTATGGTGCAAAGTCAAAAACAAATCTATCACCATCTCTAGTGTTTCGAGGGTATATATCTTTAGCCTTATAAAATAACCAAGGGTCTTGGCTGACAAATTTAAATATTTCTAATATATAATGTAAGTAAACCTAAGCTGACAAAAAGTGGTCGAGAACTATCAAAGGGACCTTTGCCACATATAGCTCTAACGCATTTCTTTTGGACAATGAAAAATCTTTGAATGTCTGTACTATTGCCCCACAGAAGAATCCCGTAATTTATAACAGACGCTACATAACCGTGGTAAGCAGACAGGGTCACTTTCAGAGTCGTTTCGGAAACAGATCTTCGTACCTATGTCTTATAGTTTCAGTATTTCCCGCACTGACCGATTTAAATGAGACACCTGTATATACCAAGTAATGTATTATGTAGGTATGTGTACTAAACTAATTTATATAAGTATAGAATATAAATAGGTACATACTGTAAATTATAAAAATCTGTAACTCATTTTTAATGAGTAGTATGGGTAAGATATAATGTTAAATTAGGACTGTGTTACTTTGACAAAATCCGCCTTATTACAAAACATAGACTAAAGTTAAACCTAGACTAAAACTGATGCTATCACTTTTGTTTGCTAAAAAGAAGACAGAGACAACATTAGGTTTAAACCAAGACTAACTTTAGTCCGCGTTTTGGAAGGAGGAATAAGTTTTTTTTATGTTAAGATTCACACGCCTAATTATAGATACTGTATTTAACTCTGAGGCAAAGGGTAAACAAATAAACCAATGTTTCTAAAACTTTTAATCTAGAAGAAAGATGGTCAGTGTAACCAGACTGATTACAAAATTTCACAATTTAATGTAAACTATCTTCTTTATCACTACTTTTCAATTAAGTAGTATTATAATGCGTTCAAAGTTTGGGAATAGCTACTAGACCAGGGTCGATAATTTTTGAGACCAAAAAAAATTATAGTAGGATGAAACCCATTAGAAAAGGTAGAGAATATAACAAAAATGAAAGGAAAAATAAATTACGGGCGATCTGAGGTCGGGAAGGGGGAGGGGGTGAGTTTTTAAGGGTAAAAAATGGTTAATCTCGGTTTCCGGTAAATCCTATGAAAAAACTGCAAGTCCTATGAAAAAAAGTTAAATGGCAAAGTTGTAGGTAATAAAAAGATCTACAACTTTTGTATCGACACTTTTTTCACATAACCTCAAAATTTATGTGAAAAATGCGAATAACCGAGATTTTGGTTTTTGATTTTTATTTTTTGCAAAAAAAATTATTTTTTCAAGAAATTTGGTGAAAACTTACCTTTGTATGTCCCAAACATACAGTATTTTTTTTGATTTAAAATATTCATTTTTTCACCTTATTTTGACTTAATATCGAAAAAGCACCCTTATTTTCAATCGAAAATTCTCAAGTCAAAATATCTGCTTTTTTAAAAAAGTTGGGTTTTTTTTTGTTTGTTGAAATCTCTACTTTCTGATGGTATAAAAAAAATATACACTACTGTGGTAAATGTTCTCAGAAACTGCAAATTAATAATGAAAAAAACTCCAATCCGAAAAACTTATTTGAATCATTATGTATAATTTTGAACTATTTATTAAAATTTACACTTTAATTACTCGAAAAACGTAAGATTTCATGTTATATTGATAAACAGAAAAATTACAAATCCATAAAACATGCAAAAATAGTTGTTGTAAGTAGGTATCAAAAATAGGATTTTCGGATTCGAGTTTTTTTCATTATTAATTTGCATTTTCTGAGAACATTTATCATAGTAGTGTATATTTTTTTTATACCATCAGAAAGTAGAGATTTCAACAAACAAAAAACACCAACTTTTTTAAAAAAGCAGATTTATTGACGTTATGAATTTATTTGACGTGAGAATTTTCGATTGAAAATTAGGGTGCTTTTTGGATATTAAGTCAAAATAAGGTGAAAAAATGAATATTTTAAATCAAAAAAATTACTGTATGTTTGGGACATACAAAGGTAAGTTTTCACCAAATTTCGTGAACGAAATGAATTTTTTTGCAAAAAATAAAAATCAAAAACCAAAAACTCGGTTATTCGCATTTTTCACATAAATTTTGAGGTTATGTGAAAAAAGTGTCGATACAAAAGTTGTAGATCTTTTTATTACCTACAACTTTGCCATTTAACTTTTTTTCATAGGACTTGCAGTTTTTTCATAGGATTTACCGGAAATCGAGATTAACCATTTTTTACCCTTAAAAACTCACCCCCTCCCCCTTCCCGACCTCAGATCGCCCGTAATTTATTTTTCCTTTCATTTTTGTTATATTCTCTACCCTTTCTAATGGGTTTCATCCTACTATATTTTTTTTTACTTTTCACCATTTTTAAAATTATCGACCCTGGTCTATACAGTTTTTATGTATTTTTAATGTCCCTTTTTTAAATTATGATTGTTTATGCGTCTAAAATTCGACCTACTGAAAAACCCTTTTAATATATCCGCCGTATCTTTTTTCCCGTTAACTTAGAACTTTTATTTGTTCTCAGCTTTAAGACGCCGTACACCTGAGTATATGGATTTATATTTAAATTTGAACCTACACGCGTTTCTGATATAAAGGGTCTTGACAGACAGAAGGCGACAAAGTGATCCTATAAGGGTTCCAATTTTCCTTTTGAGGAGGGGAAACCCTAAAAACGGCTTAATTTATCAAAACAACACTGGCAAGTTGTTTTAAAAATGAGCCGTTGTAGAACGGTTAAAAATTTCAAACCTGCGCTATACACATAAAATTATAGTACTAGGTCGTATCTATTTATTATGTAGTTTTTTATTTTATTTTGTGAAATAATTAAAATATAAAGTTTGATTAAATATGATATTAATCAAATGAGTCAATGTCACTTAATAAAAATAATGTTATGTAGGTATGTATTATTAATTATAACGAAAATAATATATAATAAGCTTTGTCTATGTAACTCAATATTATTATCTAATGTAATAGGAAATTTAAATTATGTAAGCCAATATGATAGGGGTTTTATAGTGATTAATACCTACTCACTAGTTTTATAACGAAATTGTATATATTGTAATAGTAAATTAAAAAAAATAGCACTCACCGACATACCGAATTGGAAATAAAATTTCAATAACGAATTAATAACTATTATACATGTTGTATCATTTAGTAGCTGTCCCGTCCCATCCCGTCTATTGTATTCTTTAAACTACTGTAAGTATTTTTAATATTTGGCATCATCATCATCATCAGCCGAGCTCCTCAAGGGGATCCATACACAACGGTTCTACGCTTTTCGATTCCAGTGGGTTAAAATAATTGCACTTGCTAAGCAATGGCAACATGTACTCTATACTAAGTGTGAGCCCACAACACCTCGTTGGGGCGTCGCGCGTCGCACCGTAGAAGTCTACGAAGTCGTACAGCCCCTCATGGAATTAACCGATGCGCTGCCGGCTGTTGCGATGCATTCTTTTGCGTTGCGTTATCGCATCCTATTGCGACGCGACGTCGCAAGGCAGTTTTGCGGCCTCGCTCTAACTAACGAAGTGGAAAGATCGTAATTTAGCGTTTGCGCATATGAGCAGCAGCAGCGCGCAAGACTTCACCGAGCCCCCAGGTTTACCTTAAGACAACGTTATGTAGTAAAGAGGAAACTTTAACACAACATTAGGAGAATTAACATCAAGCTCGAACTATTCACGATCGTGCTTCCATCATCGCGTCATATGACAACATGATATAGCTATCTGCTGTAGCAAAATAGACTACGATAGGCATCAAATTATCATAATAACAGCTTTGCGAAATCAAATAGGAATGATATCAGTGTGGGGGTACTGTAACGTCCGTTACGTTACAGCCTCCTTGTTTGGATAAACTCTTTGTTCATGCAATGCCTACGGCTGGCAGTTATATTAAAAAGTTAATATCATGATTTTAATATTTGAAATAACGAACCATCTGTCTTTTGATAGAAGGTTCCACATCGCAGATGGACTTCAGGCGAATACAAGTTTTTTAATCTAACTACGAGAGGTTTTGGTGCCTGAAGTCCATCTGCGATGTGGAACCTTCTATCAAAAGACAGATGATTCCTTATACTACTGTCACGCTTACGAATAGTACAACAACTCGAAATTATCCCTCCCAAAAAAGGCGCTTATATGTATGTAAAGTTCAAAACTGATTACACCACAAGTATGATTATTGTATTGTTGATTAGTAAAATCAATGAAGACTTAGGTACTTCATTCTTGCTCACTGAAAAAGCTGATTCTGAAGGATTCATGAAAAGTTACTTAGAAAGAGTTAATATGTATGTATTTACCAAAATCGAGTTATTGTACTTTTCGTTAGCGCGGCGGCGTAGCAAGTAGTAGATTAAATAAGGTTTTTCAAAAGGGAAATCACTGTTAAAAATTTACAAAGGTATCCGAATAAAAGCAATATATTATTAAGAAACTTTATTTATTCTCAAAATTGAAAACATACAAATTACAAAATATGTAACGTAAAAACTTATATTTTATACGAATTTATCTTATTTTATAGATAATATATTCTATGTTGGTATTTCTAATCTGACAAGTGAAGCTGCAATTAAGTTTATTGAGGATAAAATTTATAAATTAGTTTTATGCAAAAACATGACTAACATTTCCCGATTTCGTATTTTATTACATAGGTATATATTTTACAACATTGTACCGACCTAGGGTTACCAACTTTTTTGCCTATACCGACCTATCTTTTTATATTCATCTTTTCACAAAAAACGTGTCTTAATGATACGTACGTTTATATTTTAAAAATTTTTTATTGCCAAAAATGCATCGATTTTTAATTACGAACTAGGTACTTATACTTTACCATTGAGATGATAGAAGCTATACAGACGTTAAAAACTATGAATATTGTATCCATGTCAGAAGAGTTTAACATTACTTACTTCTAAAAGAAATATACTATTGAACATAAAGAGTTGTTACGTCGAATTCATTTTAGTTTTAAAGTTGTGTCAAATATAATCCATGCAGGTTATGTACATTTAAAAATCTGTTTTTATAAGATCGTTCAATTGTTTTTCATAACATATTAAAAATAGCAATAAATCCATCAAATTTATGTGTGCGTTTGCATAATATTTCTTTTAGCTAAAATATCGTTAGCTAAAGTCGATATGATAAACCTTTCACCAATTTATATTTTTCTATATTATTATAATATATTTGTCTTTTCATTCACTCACAGTAAAATAATATACTTAATTACGATCTTAGTACAGGTAGATTATTTCAGACTTCGCACTTTGACTTTAAAATTGAACCAACGAACCCATTAGTTAGTTCCCCGTTTGTTATGTACTTAACTAATACAGCTATTAGCGCTGCATTTATAAAATATTAAAGAATTTGCTAACGCAATTATCGAAGTACCGTTGTTCAGTTTGTGTGAAAATTCGATAAACAATTATATCGCAATCAATACAAGAACCAACATTTTATTAACATTATATCATAATATGTATCCAAAGTAGTTGGCAAAGATTGAGTATCAAACAAATAAAACTTGATGGTTATAAATGTGGTTTAAAATAATAATATCGATAAATATATTCCGGATAGTGTATAGTTATTACTTTCTCCTGAATTATGCAGGACATGTAATGAAAGCTAAATAACATAATATACAAATATGACTCGGGGACATAGAGTTGTGCACAAGTTTTGATAACACAAACAAATGGCCGTACCGGGATTCGTACCCAGGAACTGTAGAGTAAAAAGCAGGATGGCTGCCTTTGCACCAACCGATCGTCTTAACGTCGTATTATTAATATTAAATTCACAATTATCGGTGATTGTTTTTTGGTGATTTGTTACATTTTCGGTACCTTATTATTAATATGTAAATGGGCATAATAAATATATGTAGTAATTTCTAAACACATATGACTTTATTTGAATATTTTTGGTTTTTCAATCCAAATCTAAGTAATAATCGCCACGTTATGGAAAATTATTTTTTATTTAGAAAGGTGAGACAAAATAAGATTCGTTATTACCTGTGGCAGACGCTGGAAAGTAAATTATACATTTTAACTTAAAATACCAACTTGTGTTATGAGAAACTGTCGTCCTATTACACCATTCGTTTTACCAACGTGCATAATTGTAGTAAATCGCTTTTCCTAACAAAATAATATAAAACATTGTTTGAATGTCAATTAGATATGTAATAGAAGAGATATTATTATCGGCATGTGAAATATGTTAAAGTTGAAACAAGAATAGAATTTCGTAACAGTATTGTAGAGAAATATACTTGAAACGTCATGTCAGTTTAACCGAATACATAGTTTTACTAGCGGCAACGTTTGTCAGCTGTCATCAGAATTTAAGTGACTTGGCGAACAGTGCAACAGTGGCTTGAGTTTTGTCGCCGTTGAATCTCCTAAGTTCGACAATAGCCTGAAAATTTTAAATTTATTTAAAAATATATTTTTTAGACACAAACATGCATTTGTAATTTGTAAACTTGGCAGCTTGGCTTGGTTAGTGTGTCCTTTTCATTCCTTGTAAAGCATGATAAAGGAAAGACTGTTGTCAATTTTACAAATCGCAAACACGAATAGCTAAGTGCAGTGCCACGAATAGCCAAGTGCAGTGCCGGCGTTAAAATGATTTGGAATATATCATTTATACCTGTTCTCTTGTGAATCCTAGAGCTACTATTTCTTCAACCTCTGATTCACCAAACGTATCAGTCGGTAGTATAGTTTGGCTGGGATCACCGAGCCCTGAAAATAAAGTGTTTAATCCTTTGATTACTTTCATATACTGAACTGTATATATAGGTATACAATGATGTCGATTCTGGCATGATTCTCTAAAGCTAAACTTAAATTTGACAACAGTGCATCCCTGTCATTCTCTTAAAAAGGAGAGACTGATGATAAATTTAGTTTTAAGTTTAGAGAATCACGCCAGAATCGACACCAATATACATATAAACTAAAAAGTCGGAAATCATTAAATTTTTATAACATTAAAATCAGAGAGCCTACCGCCTATTGGGTTTGCTATAGCTTATAACTTCATTTTGTTATTTAAAGAAAAAAGGAGCGTGACGCATTGGAAAACTTTCGGAGGTAATAAATAACAAAATATTTAAGCTATAGCTATTTTATACCCATAGCATAGCAATCCCGGTAGACAGTAGGCCCCCAGGAATGTTGTGGTTAAGACAAATGCAAATAGTCCAATTTTAATTAATTTTAAAATATTGTTGCGGGTTTAAGTCCCGTCTGCTGCGTAGTCCGCGTGAATATTTTCTAGTAACATTTTTTTAGATCGAATCATCTAGCATTTCAATGCTTTGAAAATAAAAATACAAGAAGAAACTTGTCTTATGAGGCGGTCTTATTTAGATTTCGTCCTTGCCATTTAAATTTGGATTTTGGACTTGAACCACCTCACAAGGAAAATTTATTTCGAAATCTTTATCAAAATAAATACACAAAGATCTTGCGTATACTGTTTTTTTTAAACAATATTTTCGTTAGTACAAAACAAGACTAATAATTACCAATCCTCTGACTACTCTGTCCAGGAGAAGCGGTTTGTCCATGAGCTAGCCTGGTCCCTTGGGCAGAAGCAGGTTCTGTTTAAGGCATACAAAAACGCTATTATTTAGTAAACAACCCGGCAAACTTCTTGAGCATAGAGCATAGACAAGGAATCCTTCTCAGTATTAATTTAACATATAAAGCTTTTACTGTGCATGTTTATTTGTCTGTGGTTTTGCTCAAGATGTTTGCCGCTACATACTAGTAGTCCCCGTATAGGGTTACTATTTAGAAATTTCAAAAGCCTTGCAAAAATCCTGACACATTGAAAAATGTCCGCCCTTTTTGGTCATAAAATGGTACCATTACACACTTAGTTACAATGGTATGGTATTTAAATCAATATGTACTTTTATTATTGATATTCAATGTAATTTAAAAAATCCGGACTGTAGTTTTAAAGTCCGGACATGTCCGGACTAATCCGGACGGATGGTAACCCTATCCCTGTAGCATGAGCACCGCAACATTATTATTATGTTTTTAATCGCGGCTAACTGTCAAACTGCATAGTACAGTGGGTTTCGGGTATAACGACGATGAAGGGCCCACTCTATTTTCGTCGTTATATCCAGAATTCGTTACAGGTAAAGGTGAAGAGACACAGATCCGTACACATGAATAGTTTATATTAATTTATAAATGATTTCCGCCTTTTCTTTAATAGTGAATGTGCGGCTAGCAGCCATACTTATTCAAAAGTTTACTAAATCCAGTTGCTACTCAGAATATCACTTTGTAACTGAGCCATAAATTCAACTCCGAAACAGTGTGACCAGATTTTTTTTTTGGCCAACCTACTGTGCAATCTTATAAAAATCTACTGAACAAAAAATGTGATCTACCAAAAAATCTACCTAATCTGTTGTAACCATGGAACTAGGTTGTAGGTAAATCTACTATCCCCTCATTAATAAACGAAGACTACGTGTGGATTAATTACTCCATGTTTAAACTCTGTCTATTGAATGACAAATGGCATTTGAGTGGATGAACAAAACACGGCGTAACTAGTCTAAGCTTATTCCTTGTTTATTAATAAGGGGTTTTGCGGTTGGTTTTTCCATAATCGCCATCGTATCCTCGGAGAAATTGTCATGTTTCACACAACACAAACATTTTTCAAATTAAATTATGTATTTATCGATAAAATTTTGTTCATTACACATTACTTTGCGTTAAACTGTGAAATTGTGAGACGAGAGCAATGACAAACGTGGAACAACAACACGCAAAACCTTAACCTTAACTTTAGTAAATTTACCCTGTAACAGTTATTTTATAAATAAAAGTCCAATAATATTTCTATGAAATAGTTTTATTTAAAAAAGGCACATAAAAACAATTTGTGATTCTGAATTATCAATATTTATTCTTTATCATTAGCTTAATTATTAGTACAATTACGCATTACCATTCGGAAAATTTCCTTCCACTTAGGTCTTTTTTTAAATTGGGGAATAAATAAAAGTCACTTGGGGCCAGGTCTGGCCAGGTGTGCAGAGCAGCCATTGCAACTCTGCTCTTGTGCACCCTTAGTCAATTTTACTCGTCGTTTTTCCTTGATGGCATCCGTCAGTTTTTCTAATATTGTTGCGTAGCATTATCCGGTTATAGTCCTTCCCTTTTCTTTGTAACCAATCAGGATTATCCCCTCACAATCCTAAAAAAACCAATAGCCATCAACTTTCCAACCGACTCCGACATCTTGAATTTCTTTGGCGGTGGTGTCCACTTTTTATGCCATTGCATGTACTCTTGTTTGGACTCAGGCTCAAAGTGTTGAACCCATGTTTCATCTCCGGTAACAATCCGCGCCAAATTCTGTGCAGGTTCGTCTCCACACAACTCCAAAAAATGTTTTGACGCATCGACGCGCGGCTGTTTCTGAAGCGGCGCCGCGGCGTGAACATTCTCGGTACCCATCTTGCACTGACTTTTGTCATGTCATGTCAAAATGGTGGTATCTGATACTCCAACTAATGCAGATAACTGTTTTTTTCTTCAAACGGGCATCATCCAGTACAAGTTTCTCCACTTTTTCGACGATGTCTGATGTGGTGGCTTCAACTGGCCTTCCTGAGCGGGGGTCATATTAAATCAACTCTCAACTCTGTTTAAACGACACTTGTAAATCATTGACTTACTAGGGCACTGTTCCCCATAAACGACTCCCATTTCATTCAAAATGGTCTGAGCGTTCTTTCCTTGCTTGGTAAGGAATTTTACCACAGCGCGGTGTTCAATTTTCTCCATTGTTTCAGTTTTCTTCCGGATTGACATGTTCAGCAGGCGACTGTTCGTAAATGAATAACGCAATGGGGTTGAAACTCTGTATATATACTAATGATGAGTCTCCAATCCGTATGACACTAAACGAGCGCGCCTATCCCCAAGTTTGTATCTACAAGCAATGTGTGATATCTTTTCCCTAAGCTACTTGGCCCATAAATCGAAAGCTGCGTTAGTGTACTATACCAGTACCCGTACTGCAACTTTAGTGTGGTACTGTATCACCCAAAGAAATGATTTTTTAAAATTATAGAGTTGGAAGAACAGAGGGTAGGCTTCATGATAGGGTTCTGTGTCACTTTATTGGTACAGAAACAAAATAAATCAAACAAGAAAATATGTAACCAGTTGCACAGAAAAATATAAACTCATCCCGCTAGATATAACGCGTGAGTGGAGTCCAGTAAAGAAGATAGCTGATCCAGGGCAGCGGTAATTACTGGTCATAACCAGGATGCACTCCTCTTATCCCCCTAGAATTTGTTTAATTTAGTCGATGTCAATGGTATTTTTTATGGTAGGGCAATGGCATTTTAAGGCAGAGCATTGCCCCATTATCCCCCCTCTAGATACGGCCCTGAAATGTAACGTATGTTTTGCTGCAATCCTATGTACAATGAAAACGACTTCCACAGAGGAGCCCAATGCCCAAAGCCCTGCTATGCACTATATATCTTCAAAGTATGTGGTTTGATATCTTTTTTCCCATCCCCATCTGATGTACTAGTTGTGCCGACTAAGACCCTGTAACCCTTACTTCCTTTCAGATCAAATTTCTATTATTCATTTTCCTGCTACTTATGACGGAGCAGAAATGGTATGTAACAATGTTAACATGGTTCTTAGAATTTTAAATCTTTATATGCCTACAATGGACTTTAGTTTTTTAATTCCTTGTATGACTTCACCATCTCTCATCTATTATTTCTTGTTAATTTTATTTTGCAACTATTGAAATATTTTTTTGAACTTAGAAAATGTCTGATAACCTTACGACCGTTATACTGGAAACCAGCTTCTTTGTGTAAACTATTAAATCGGAGTAGTATCAAACCAGCTTTATCAAAAACAAATTCTACTAATGAGCAAAACGACTTTTAAAGTAGACCTTAATTGACAATCTATTAATAATGTAATTGAACAAAAAGTAACAGCAGTTCTATCATTTACACTTTTCATTGACAATCTAACATACACTGTAATTAATTGTGAAAAGTAAAATATGTCAAACAACTACATAGAAACAATTTTTTTTTTTCGATTTTTATTGTTTTAGTACATTACGATTTTTAATAAATTTTAAGATCACTAGACATATAAGAACGGGCAATTTAAGCATATAAAACTTTAAAAATAATTCTTTAATTTTTTTTTCCTCTCCCACCTTGTTTTGATTTTTCCATTGCTTCTTTCACTTGACGTTCTTCATGGTCCTTTATAGATTGATTTACAATTTCATCTTCAGAATACCCTGAGAGACGAGCACATTCTGGTAGATCCGATTCAGGCAAGAAAGGTGTTTCTGTGCCTGTGGTGCCAATTCTCAGTACATTCCTCTTCAAATCAATGTTACACTAATAAAAAATAAAGGGTTTCACTGTTAAAAGTTCTTATATAGAAAGTCCAATCAATTTATTTAATAATATTTATAGAATGTTTATAAAGAAAAAGCTCTGAATGTATGTGATGATGTGTATTTTAAATATTAATCATATTGATATTAAAAAAATTTAGATATAAAGAAAAGTTTACTAGAAAAAAATCCACGCGGACCAGGCAGCGGACGGGACTCGAACCAGCACCCTTCGCAATCCGGGCGAATGCACTGACCATTATGCTACCACAGCCCTATTCGCCGCGTCGAAATTTTCTTTCCTGGTCCGCGTGTAGTAAACTTTTCTTTAGATTTAAACATCTAGCAGTTAAATGCTTAAAAATAAATGAAAACATAAATTTAGATATGTTTAGTTACCTGATGTCTCTTCAACATATCCAGGCCGAGTAACATATCCATTGGCTGTTCTTCTAATACTGAGAAAGAAGTAGTCAAAAAATCCTTATCAATTCTCATTTGGACCATGTGAATACGACCAATGATTCGCTGCACTCCCACTCCTTTAGCAATACCAGCCCATCTAAATAAAGAGAAAAGAATATATCATGTCGCAAAACAAATATTAATGAAAACTATTGCATTCAGTGTTTACATTACTATTACAAGAAACATTAATAAACAATGATCAGGAATAAGACTTGTGGGTTTCAACATATAATACTGTTGAATATAATTAAATTATTGTAAAGAGATGTAATAAATAACAACCTAGTATCCACAAGACGCATAATATTACATCTTTCAGCGCATGCAGCAGACATTATAGTTGTTTGAGCACCAGAGTCAATGAATGCTTTCACAGGAAATCTGAAATAAAAAAATCTTGTTATCTAATTCTGCTATGGGCAGTTCATTATATAATTCAAATAATTAGGGAAAACCATGTATATACACATCAGTTAAACTCTCTCACCCATTAACATGACAATTGATGTAAAGCATGACAACAGTCCCAAATGTTTCAGGATTGTACTCCATTGCTGCTTCCATGTTTGCTTCAATATTCTTCTGTCTGATTTCCTCAGCAATCATTCTTTGAGCTTCTGTGTCAAATGGGTCGGAATTCATCATTCTAAGGGCAAGTAAATAATAAGTTTATAATTCTCAGAACAAGTTAATTATTTTAAGCAGCATACACATTGATGATATTGATTCTTACCTTATCCTTTGCTGTTGACGTTCAGTCCTGGCAGAAATTTGTTCACGAAGCACTGAGGCAAATGTATCTAAAGAAAAAACACGGTTTCAATCATAACAGCACAAATTTATTAATTTTTTACTAAATATTAAAGTATGTACTGATGAATGCTTACCAAGATTACCACTTAAAAGTGCATCAGCCAATCTTGGATTGTTTTGCTTCAACAGTGCCAACTGGTCAGGATTGGCTAGGAACATCTCCCTAATAATACGGGGATCTTCCTCCACTGGTGGGTTCCGTGCAGCCATGGAAGTGCTAGCAGCAACAGGTGGTACTCTGATGTTGCTGAAATCTAGATTAGCTAAGCCAGTAGGCAAAGCTGCAGGGTGTATATGTTTGTGTTTTTATAGAGGTTGTAATTTTTTTTATAAAAAAAATGCAATAATGTTGGTTAGTGAACTGTAATTTACAGAATTGTGGATAAATTATATATCTTTTTTAATTTACATTACAATATGCCAGTATTTATTTGACAACAGACTACAGACATTCAATGTCAAAACAATCATAGCATGACATGGCAATTTTGATTGTACTGTATCAAAAGGGGTCAAAGAAAGAATTGTAAATTGTGTAAACAATATAAGTACCTTGATTAGCGTCGGTTGCATTGAGATTGGTGGCAGAGTTTATCATATGGAGCAGCACAATAACATCGCCATCGTGAACTCCGTGTTCTTTCAGGGACTTCTTGTCGTCCAGTAAAGGCATGCCATTAAAATTCAAAGTTATATCTTTAGCAGGAAAACCAGATTCTATTTCACAGAATGCTTTGAAATTCTCCAATTCCAAGTCTTCGGAGACATCCAAGACGAATATCTCATCGTTCAGTGTTGTTACAGTAACTTTCATGTTGATGTTACGATGAACAGGAACGAAAGAAGCTTAGCACTGGAGGCAGGTCTGTGCTCCACGAATTAAATTTCAGGAGTGACTGCCCAAAACATTTTTACTTTAGGCAAGCATTATATATACTTAAATATACGCGTCCAAGTGACTACGACACAAATAAACTTTTAGAAACAGAATTTTAATTGGTTTGGTTGGTTTCTTGCGAAGGTGGAAATTGTTTTTTTTTATAGTGTTGCCATCTTACAAAAATCGGTTTACTCATTTACCTTATAAATCGATTAATTTTACCGATTAATAAAAGTCAAGATTCTAAATGCTATAGCCAAACCAATATTAAACACGCGATAATTTAACTCTGTGTAATATATTAGCCCACGTGCACCACCGTCATAAATTAAGTAAGATAATAATAATTGTATTTTTGTCACATGTATGAAGTTAATAGATATAAAGTATTCCAACCATTCTTAAAATAAAGTATAAAATTATAAACTTTAGTTGAGATTTTATATAAGAATGTTGGATTTTATTATGTCTTTAGATCATGACTACAACTTTGCTTTCACCTTTCTAACGACAACCTATGCATTCAGTTCTAGTAGCTCTTTTGGAAACAGCAAATGGGCCAAAAACTCAACATAAATTTGAGTACATTTAACTCTTTGAGAATTTATTATAAAAACTAAATAAACGCTTTTGAAAGCAACTAAATACCAAAATTACGAGCTTTTTTCGACAAACCAAACCTCTAATTCAGGTTCCAGATGACCTCAATTTGTATCTACAAATCCTACTAATATTACAAATGTGAAAGTTTGTGTGTTTATGTTTTTATATGTTTTTTACTCAATCACGCAAAAAGTACTGAACGGATTTGAATGAAATTTGTTACGCATTATAACTCATGACTTGGATAGAGACATAGAATAGTATTTATCCCAGAAAATGTTAGATTCATGTGGGATTCTCAATAAACTAAACAAATTTAAGAAATAAATAAAAAATATGTTTTATATGTATAAATTAGGAGAACAAATAATCTTTTGAATAATCTAACATAATTTTCCTACCATCCGTTCAACTTTTACACTTAGCTGGGGCATAGAACTAGCGAAAGAAACCTCACAATAAAATCGCTATGACGTTACAGTGTCAATCTCAAAGCACTTTAAACGAACCCTGTATTGTAGTGTAGTAAAATAAAAACCTTTTAGTACTATTAAAGCTATAAAAGACAATAAATAAGTCTGTTCTCCAGGGCAGTAGAGAAGACTCAGCTCCACTGACATTATCCGTTCACGTTCCGCCGTTTATTTCCGTTTCAACAAGCCATTTTCCTAATATAAGTTTATTTTATTTGGAATTTTCGGGACAGATTTTGTCTCCTATCCTCATAGATCTCAGTTCATCTCAGCCACCTTAAGGTCACGTCCTCATTTCCAAAGAGCCAACACCCCGCTGATTGCTAGGGCCATCCGATTGTGATCCAGAGAGATTTAAGAACAAGCTCGCCGTTCCATGTTTTAGACTCCAAAAATAAAGAGGTTCATTTCTGGGTTATAGTATTGCATTCTTTGATAAAGTTCCTCAAGATCTGATTAAGCTTCCACTAGCTAGTTTCTTTATTGTAACTATATATATTTATTCTAAATATTCTATATGATGTAATGGAAGTTGACTTCAGAATTGTCTCTGGAGTCATTTTTCAACTTGACGACTCTGTATATAACAATACAGGGAGCCTTGCTGAGTTTCTTGCCAGTTCTTCTCAGTACAAGGTCTCCCGCCGTAGTTTTGCGAAACGATGGCGTAGCTTCTTGACCTTCACAAGTGCTTGTAATAGCCTAGACTGAATAAATGATTTTTGATTTTGATTTTCAGAACGGCTCAAAAATATAGTGTGAGAAGAATTGAAAGGAAATGATAAGGAAAAGCAACTTATCTTGCTCTTAATGACGGCCGCGGCCGGTCTAATCAGGGCTTAAAGAGGAATGTATTAGTAGTGAGCGATTTAAGAATATAACAAAATCGTTATACAACACCCTCGAAAAATCGTACCATGACGGATATGGGTCTCAGCAGCAGAAGGATCACAGGGACACATACTGAATGTCTTCATCAAACTTTAGAGTATTCACAAAGCGTGACTAGCAAAATAAACGAGGATATTTTGCCTTACCATCATGCAAACTTATCCAAGAGGCGACATGAAGGTATATGACAACGGACCGGCCATATTCATGTTACCCATGGAAAAACGTGCGGTATACGGTATACGGCAACATATAGCTATGTATGTGGTTTGTATTGCAATTTGTGGATTTGTATGCGAAAAAGGGTGAAAGGGAGAGGAAGCTTGTCTTCGAACCAACACTCCAAACAACCCCACAGTGGTGCTTTTTTGCAAAGTGCACCACGGTGATAATAGAGGATAAGCGTCGTCAGGTGTGGCAAAATGACGTGAGTTATGTCCTAGATTGATACAGAAAGAGACGGGCTAATCAATGGAGCTAATAATTTTGAATACAAGAGTAGAAGTCCCGAGTTTCAATTTTGGTTTAAACAGAAATTATGAATTTTTAAAGTTCTTTCATGAAAATCGAAAATTGTATTTAATTGTCTCTATAAAATGCACAAAATGAATCAGTTCATAGCATTAAATTGTGTAGGACAAGAGAAACAATATCGATTTTCTCATTTTTTTTATTATTTTTCGTCTATATTTACAAATTTAGTTTCTACATTTAACAATCCTCGTTAGGAAGGAAATTTCGATAGCTTAAAAGGAGAGAAAAATTAGTAGTGCTCAGTTCAGTGCTGACATATATAATTTGCAAAAGACAATAATATTTGACATGAAAAAAAAAATTTGTCTAACATTAAAACCAAAAAGATTAGATAACAATAACTATGTACAAAAGAGGATATTTCCAAACAATAGGCTAGTTGACCCTTTTTGGAAAAAGGTTTTAAATGGTTAATAAATGTTCTATTAGACCGAAAAAAAATGTATTGTATTTTTTGAGACCTAGAAAACTACAAATCTTTAATTTTAAAATAGACTTTTCATGGACATACAAAAACGCTGTCGGCCATTTTAGTCTATAGATTATCTATGCTATGACGTTGACGGTAGTAAACAAAAACTCGTAAGCACGTTTAAAATAACCTATCTGAGTTTAATAATAAAAAGAAAACATGATTTCTAATAGATACCACGAAAAATATAGTAATTATCATTATTGTATTGTACGACAATGTAAAAACACATCCTTGAAGACTCCAGGAAAGTTGTGGATTAAAGTGCCGAAAGAAATTAACCTACGCAATACCTGGTTAGAACTTGCTAAAAGTGATCCTGCAACTTTATCGACTCATAGTAAAATTTATTTTTGCGAAGATCACTTTGATGTAAGTACTCATTGAATAATATTTTAAGTCTCTTCATTTATTATCAGTTTGAATAATACAAGTTTTAAAGTTATGTATGAATGACATTTAGTTGTTTACTAAAAGAGACGTCACAATCATGGCGGATGTGGCGAACAGCGTTTTTAGTGTTTAAAAAATATAGACTAAAAAATATTTTTTTAAATTAAATTTCTACAACAATCTTCTACTTTTATGAAGTGAAATCGATATATTTAGGTTCCTTAAACCAAATACTTTAAGAAATAAACATTTATTTAATACAATTCGACATGAGTCAACTAGCCTATTCTCTACATAGTCCCCCTGTCTAGCGTAGCTACACCATTTGGTGGAAGGAAAGGCGAATGAGCTATTTGGCAGGTCTCCTTAGCGTTCCACCTTTCTACGTCTGCTACTCTTACGACTCCGTCTGCTCCAGGAAATTGCTAAGTGCGCCCTAAAAGCCAGGCTCCTCGAGGTGCTTGGTAATCCATGATGTTCCTCGTCACCAGCTGTAAGATTCTCGTGAGCATTCTGAGCATGACGTGGTCGTAGATTGGGAAGATACTCCCACAGCCACTTTCTCCAAAAATTTTCTGACAGTCGTATAGCATTCAGCCATTCTTTTCTGTGGTGGAAAACACCGTCATCCAAAGAGTAAGGCAGTTGCTGGTTCGAGGAGGCGCCAATCAGGAAAGGACGCGAATTCGCGAGAGCTTCGGCTTCTAATATTAGCGTCGTCAACAGCTTTTCTTTTGGGGCTATATCTTTCAGGGTCACAGAGAGGGCTGTCTTGATGGTACGGACCAGTTTTTCCCAGCAACCGCCAATAAAAGGTGAGACTGGGGGTATGAAGCGCTACTCGATCATGGTGTTCGCAGTAAAATCCTCCACAGCTTGGCCATAAAATTCTCTCAGCTGGCGGTTTGCTCCTACAAAGGCCGTACCATTGTTACTCAAGATTTTCGACGGCACTCCTCGACGAGCAATGAATCTTCGTAAACTTGAGATGGCTGAGTCGGAAGAGAGCGAGTTTACAACCTCAAGATGAACGGCGCGTGTTGTCATGCACGTGTACAGCGCGACGACGTACCGTTTCTCTCTGCGACGACCAATGGTGACATCGATAGGGCCGAAATAATCAGGGCCCACGTTGGTGAAAGGCCGCTTGTGGTGATCAAGGCGACGCTGTTCGAAGATTGTTTAAGTGGTAATTTTGAATTTGGACGTTAACTTTTCAAGAAGGATCAAAGCTTCAAGGCGCACTGATGAGTGCGTGCTGTCACGCTTACGAACTGGAACCACATACTAAAACGCAGTTTTTGTGGCGGCATCATGAACAATCTTAAGATTTATTTTTCTGAGGATATACAACAGCAAAGTGTGTGGTCGCATTCATCACTGTAAACAGTTCCGCACTATCTTTGCCTTTGACGTATTGCACTGGTGTACGCGTGGACATCTGACACTGATCGAACCCGAAGGTCCCGTTGCTCCAATATGGCGAGCGACTTCGGAATCGATCAACGTTGCCGTTGACCCATCGTCGAATAAGGCATATGTACGAAAGTTGCCGCTTGGTCCGCCAACCTCGACCGGCACTAATTTTAAGTATACTGCACTATCGGATAATGATCTGGTTGAGTTGGCTATAACAACGCCGCCAGCACTCGAGTCAATCACTTGATTAACTTTGTCTCGTTTATTAATAATTGGGAAAGTATGTTGGGCATCGGTAGGTGAATCGGTGTGTGCTATTTGAGGTGATGGTGTAGGCGGATGCAACAAAGGATGGTGAAAATGTATACAGCTGCTTACATCACAGCGTTTTTTCTTACATAATTTCCAACAATGTGACTTTGGCTTGAGACAATTAAAACAGATTTTGATCTGGCGTAAAAAGTCAACTTGTCATCTATTACGTTACGTGAGCTACGTGTGTTACGTGAGCTTGCCCAACAGCGGGGGAAAATCGACAGAGGCAAACGCAGTGAATGCCTACTCGCTAGTGTCGCTCTATGCCTAATAGGGATACAGTTACCTACAAAGCAATAATTTATTTCCACCAGTTCCATGCATTTCATGTACCTATACCATAAAAATAAGATGCCGAGCTCGAATGTTAAGAAGCTACCGAATCATAGTATCGATTTACTGATAAATCGAATACTTACTGTCACTTCACTAATAATAAGAAAATGACATGACTGATTGAGCTGGGTTGCTGTGCTTGTTGTATTGTATTGTGAAAACTACTGAAAAGCCTTTGTTAAATATTTCACTGGTAAAAATATGAAAAGAATCGACCAGTAAGGTTTTTCTCTGAAATGATTTTTTCTTTGTTCAATAAAAAATTGATGTTTATATGTGTTAGTGCTTGTGTGTGCTATGAAATCGTCTTTCTGACCTAGAATGGTAAGTGTTTTCTACTCCTAGATTTTAATACATTTTGATAAATATATAATTTACTTAGGAATAGATGCAGATAGAATTAGTGTAAAATAATAAATCGATTTGTGTGGTGAAAGTGGTTGATTGAAAGTTATTCTCTACCTACTTTAATTTAATTGATTCGGATTTAAAAGAAATTCAGCGTACTCAATGTAAAAAAATAAGGCGAAAATCATCATAAAATGTAGGTATTCTTCTTAAAATTACAACTTTATTATACTTCTTTACAGAATCAGTAACATGAATTTGTTTTTCTGTTTTTTTAATCCTTAATCTGTAAGTAGTTCCATATTTTTTTAATGTTGGTGATTGATTGGTAATTTCAATAAACCTACTTGTTTTTATCTTTGTATACCCACTTCCTTAAAGTTATATGTTTTGGCATATTTATTGGTATATTTATCTTGGGAGCTGTACCAGTTGGTGTTTAACTGTTTATAGAAAGAAGAAAAGAAAATAACCTATGTAAGATTCCATTCTATGTAGAGAAAAATATTATGGTTGTTGTCTACTAAAATTCAATTTCCAGAGTTGATTCTGGATTACACTAGATTTTTGTCTCTAAAATGCCAGACAATTTTTGAGGAGCTGGCAAACAAAATGGTATAATTACATAAAATGAAATTTTACAGGATCTGTATAAAACTGAATGACATACCTACAGTGAGGTTTTGGCATGGTTTTTAATTTATAAATTGTCATTTTAACACTGTTTCAGGTGGTTTTGATTTAAAATTATTTGAGATTTAAATTCAAGGGGCCCAAAAGCATAAGGAAATAATTGTTTGACCAGATGCATAATTATACTGTTTTGTTCATCAGCTCCACCTTTTATATTTCTTCCACCCTATGTAGGTAGTCTTTGAAAGATATAGACTAAAAGGCCGAATGAAACCTGATTAGTCAGGATGCAACAGTAATTGGCTAGCCAATAACCCAAATATGAAACCCTGCCTATGAAGTCAAATTGTAACCACAGACATAGACAAGGTTCGGAAACATTTGCTGTTTAAATTTATTAAATTGAAATGTGTGTTCAATTTAATGTTACAACTAATATCAATATAATCACATTATTTTGATCCAGTAATCTAGAAAATCAATCCAGTGCAGTGCTGGGCTGGATTATATCACTCACATTATTCCAGTCTTTTAAATATTGATGAAATGGTAAGACTGCAGTTGATAATGGTTTCAAAACAGCAGTTTAAAATTTTTCACTGTCTGAAATTCTGATATTCCAATACTGGAGTATCAGTATACTTTACAGCTGGAGTGAAAAATAGACTGTCAATTCAAGACACTGGACTGGATTCCCACTGGAATGGGAACATTCCAGCCCTGGATTCAGACGCTAGACTGGAATGCTACTGAAATAATGTGAACCAGCCATAACTGTTTGCAGTATGTTCAACCAAACTGAGCCTTCCGTTTTGGGCTGACTTCAAAATAAACTGCAGAAATTGTAATAATTATACTATGGTCATTATACTTTTTCATTATGATGCAACAAACAAAACATGAGGACTGATTTTTTTGCCAAAATGTAAAGTCAATATTTTCACTGACAATATTTAACAAACTGCCTGACACATAAAGAATTTGACTTTTAATGTATTTATAAGTAGGTTGTCTAATTGGCTTCTAGAAAAAATGTTAGTAGGCTGTATAGGCAGTTAGCAATTTGTCTTTGATTTTGATCTGTTTTGTAATTTTCTATGACTTTGCCATTCTGTCGAAATAAGTTTATTCAGTTGAATTGAAAGTTTTCTGAAACTCTAAAGAATATTTTATTATTTATTATAATATCAATATATATATACCAGTGGCTGCTCCTGCTATAAACTGAATTGAAAGTGTTCAAAATAAACTGAATTGAGAGTTTTATATCAAAAAAGATTTTATAAATAAATATATGTAATTTAAAAAAAGATAGGTATTTAAAGTTTAAAATTGAATAAGTAATTTCTTTTTAAGTTTCTTCTTTTGTTAATTTCTATTGTATTTTATTTTGAATTGACAGGTATTGTTGATGCTATTAATGTAATGAGATGGTTTAGATTAACTTTTAGTTCAAACTACAAATCAAATTATTAAAAAATCAAAATAACTAAATAATTATTATTAAGCTAAGTTAGTTTTTCTTTATCTTGTAATATTTAGAATATGCAGACAAAAACAAACATTGTCATAAAATTATGTATTCTATATTATTTTATTATCTTAATCTTATACTATTTTATTTTATTATTTATATGAATGTAATGAAATAGTATAACAACAATATTTATTTATTCCCTTATCTTTGTCATCATAAGGCTGTTTGTCCACCGCCGCCGTCACCGTCACGTCATCGAGAACGAGATTATTTCGGGCCGAGTTTAATATGACGTGACGGCGATCGTTTGTCCACCGCGACCGATGGTTTAGTTTGTTCCAACTGTCATGCGTGGTAGTCGCGTTTTCGAAGAAATAAAGTGATGGCTAGGTTAAACCGGCGACAACTTCTTCTCCTGCTTTTGTACCTTAGAAGGCGCAGGCGATGCAAAGAATTTTTATTACAATGATATATTATGATAATTGATGACAGACAACTGAACTGAGCTCGTGTACGGTGCGACGGCGACGGCAGTGTGTGGACAAGTTCATAAGTGTTTTGTATTGCCGGCACATCGGCCCGTCATAATCTCGGGCCACGTTCTAGTGGTCACGCCGATCTACTCGCAATTTCGCCGGCCGGGATGACAGTGCTCGGGTGACGGATGTGCGGTGGACACGCGGCTTAAGTAAATGTATGTACCGCTACTTCTGCGCCGTCATATCGTTCTCGGTGACGTGACGGTGACGGCGGCGGTGGACAAACAGCCTTAGGGTATACATTTTTGTTTCAGGTTAATTAAAGAGAGTAGAAATAATTTTCTACTGTCAAGAAAATCATGTCATCAGTGGGACAATTAGTCCCACAGGTGACCCGAGCCCCTCCCAATATGACAATCAAATTCAATGGGCCCCACATTGAGGGGTCTTTTTGCACTTCAATTGACTATAACTATGACCCCATCATTAGTGTCATCTGTGCAATGTATATTGCTTTTGGCATTGTGTATACATTGTTTGGTACGTACATTACATTGAAATTATTTATTTAATTGACTTAAACCTGAGCAGAATTTTGTCAAGTGAATTTTTCTTTGAATAAAAAATGTTGCAGATGCAAACTAACATTAAAATCATCATCGGCCTATAAATATTCCCAATTCTGGGGCATAGGCCTTCCCTATTGGCATTTGTTGGAATAGCAGATTGGGCCATAACTCACCACGCGGGCCCAGTGCGGATTGGTGGGTGCCAAAGACTACAGTTGCAGCCGGGACCTACGGCTTAACGTGCCTTTCGAAGGACGGAGGGCTTGAGATAGTAAATTTTTGGCCACTCATCTGATGACCGACCACTGCGAAAGTTACTTAACTTTAACGATCGCGGACGAACGCGCTAACCATTTATGCCATCGAGCTCCTCAAAAATTAAATAAATAAGAATATAATAAAATCTACTTAATTTCATAATCTTGACAGTGGTATTATTTTATGAACTAAATGTTAATAAATAAATGGTTACCATTCATTTATTACAGGATACAGATGCTTTAAGGCTAGCATGTTCCTCACTGGTTTCACATTTGGTTCTGCCATAGTTTACTTAATATGTCTGCAGGAATATTTGATGCCCCCCTATGGTAATGTTGGTGAGTAGAGTATTGTCAAAATTGTCGATACGTTTCTTGTGATTCAAAGTTTGTTTTCATATTACTTTAATTTAAATTAATGCAAGTAAATGAGAATAAAGCTACCTATATTAGTTCCTTTCTTGGATAAATTCTACTAACCGCAAAAAGGGTTTACTATTAAACCTGTGTTAAACCTACCCTTTATTTATTGGTGACATCGATAAAATTAAAATTTCTCTCTCTACAAATTAAGCGAAGTGTTCCCTGTATAGAATATATTAGAAGAGAGATATATTAGAAGACAAATAATACTTAAAAGCAACGATATCAAATACCCCACGAACAAAATCGTGGCCGAAACCTGTCCAAAAGGTACATTGGACGATCCACGGAGCTCCGTAAGATGATCGCGTAGTCAAACACAATATAAGGCATTATTTAAACACTGAAAGTCACCTTTAATTCATACTGTATAAAGTCTTAATTAAAACGCATGCGTCAGAGTTACGACAGTTCGGAATGCAAACTTGTAAAATTATACGACTCATTGCTATATGCGAAAGAATATCGACCTTATTTCTTGAATCTACGCGCTATTCTGAATGCGCTGTTTGCAAAATAGCAGGTACGGATTGCGAGGAAAAGTGACGGCTGTATTACCGACAATGCATTTGAATATAACAAATATTTTCTATTAAATCAGTTTATAAATAGTAAATGTTGGAACAACAAATGCGTTAAATCAACAAACATTGATTAGATACCTGACGAAAAAAACGACACTTTACATACTATATGTGTTTTTTTCTCATTTTTTCACGGAGCTCTGCGGCATCTTGACTTTTCAACGTTCCGCGCGTGACTGTGAACCAAGACAAGAAGTGCTTGAGTGGTGTTCTAGTATTTCTTGATTGGGACACATTTTGACCGCACGTGGTGTATCTAGAAAATTTAATATTGTTGGCCAAAAAGCTTAGTACACCGCCTCAAACTAAATTCATTGGTCCATTTGATGTTCAGCCTTTGTTAAATTGCCGAAAAATGAACTCATGTTTGGAGCTTCTGCATTCCCACAGTAGTTTTCTGCTTTCAGAATTTTAAGTTTTATCTGCACTTTATGTATTTTTATTAATATGTCTGATTTTTTAGGTGTAGCACTTTGCGCTGGTTTACTCTTTGGTCTCATCACTATGCTGATTCAGTATGTTGGACTCTTCATGACTGGTTTTCACACAGGCCTGTTACTTGCGATCGGTGGTCTGGCCGTTTATGACCACTTCCTTGACAGTAGGCCAACAACAGTGAGTATGATTTTTTTTATTTCCTAATAAATTTATTTATCAAGAATAATATTTTTCGCCGTATTTGTGTTGACTCAAAATGCTGACATCAGTCTATAATGTGAATCATAGTTGTTTTCCTGAATTCTGTGTTACGTTCGTACTATTTGGATGCGTGTAGTTATGTGTTTAAATCGCTGCTAATAATTTGTGTTTTACATTTCTTAGGCTTAGAGTATACAGCATAGTTATCTATTAAATGGGTTTGTGTCAGAGTTATGTATATCCACTGACAACATAATGATGGCCTCGTTACACGCTTCAATGTGTGCAAGCTGCCGGCAGTGTAACGCACTGTACGCTTTTCTTAATTTATATCGCGGACACAATATACTTCACAACTACCGAGAAGTTTTTTTTACAGTAAAATAAAATATATTGTACATCAAGTTAAGTTTATACAGCGTTGAATAGCAATAATATGACTATTTTTAAAATATTTGCAAATAATCCTAATACCATTGTTCTGTATCAATGTGTACTATGTTTCATTATAACGTAGTCTATATTATATTATTTTAAAATAAAACAAAATAGACTTTGATACAGAACAATGGTAATAGGATCATTTGCAAATATTTTAGTTAGGTACAGTACAAGTTGATGCCCTAAGTTTGTTTTAGCTGAAATAATAAATGATAAAGGTATTATCATTTCGTTTTCTCTTATTTATCAATATATGATAGATAATAAGAGAAGTATATTTAATATACCTACTTAAGTTTATCGAAAATGAGACTTTGTGCCTTCTAAGAAAGATTAAGAGAAGGCTCTCGTGATTTTTAAATATGATATTTTTATGAATTATAATTTGTGTTATTTACGCGATTTCGTTGTTGATTTTCGTTGTAAATTGTAGGTAGATTAAAGCCGCAGTGCATATGCGATGCATTATTAATGTTAAGTTTGACCCCGCTAATGGATTAAAATTTCAATAAGCAATGCTACTTCGAGCTCTTGTTTTCTTGAGTTCAGGCACTTTGTATATTTTTCTATCTACAAAATATTATATTAACACGTGCAAATGCTTAAAAGCGCTACGGTTTACATTAACATATATGTTTTCTACACGTTTAATTTATAAATATTTCATTATATAATCTCAAAAGTCCATCTGTAAATGTGAATGACCTTGTCTTTCTCACCTCGTTTGACAAGTATGTTATATGGGCAGGTAATTAATAATCTCCATAGTTGTTAAGCAACCTTTAATTCGAAATCGAAATATTATAAGAACTTGTAATCATAAATATACGTAGGTAATTTAGAATATCAAAGTTGATATACGTAATCAGAGTTGTGATGTTGTTGATGTCTCGGCGGTTCATGTGAAAGCGTTTCCGAAGCCGCACTTATCTGTTTATAGGTACTGGTTCGTGTGACAAGTTTGAAATATTCAAGATAGGTATATCTAGTTTCGATGACTAAACACTTCATCACTTTTAGATTATTTTCTCTAGACCACGTAGCTTAAGGGACTTTTCAAGCTAAGTTATGACCTTGTTATCATTAGCAGTAGCTTTGATTTATTATTTCAGTTAGAATTTACACAAGTATTTTAATAGTAGGAGTTTCCATTTAAATTATCACAAATCGACGTACTAGCACATAAAACATTATAGGTAATTTTTTTGGGAGTGTTGGTTGCTGATGACCTACAACTGGCTTAGGACGGCGAGATTCTTTGGAGACATCAAATTGGGAAATGGCGTGTCGCTCTAGTTGTTTTCTAGACTGGGGGCATCTCTTTACGGTCCCGGCGCAGATTCACTACATAGGCCTCTCGAGCCTTAGGGGCGCGGTTAGTGCAACTAGCCCCACAGCAACGGCTAACTAGATCCGAGGTCTGAGTTTCAGAGACGCCCTTTAGTTAAGCCGACCCCCCCAGGTTCGTGTGGGCTAGAGGCTCCAGACGGAGAGGAGACCCCCGAGGAGAGATGCCATCCGCCTGGAATACCTCTAGAGGTATTTGCCAATTCTTGGCTTGAGGTCCCTTTAGTATTTCGCTGTCCCTAAAGCCGGTGATGCGGTAAAGATCATCTGCGACCAATGTATGCTACACACTAAAAACAAAAAAAAACTAGAAATTAAACTATAAAACTCTAATGACTTGACGTGATTATGATGATTGCACTTGGCTTTGTATAGACATTATTTTTTATATTATATTATGTGTTTGATACAAAATGATGTTATTGTCAATAGATCGATTATGTCTTCTCATGATCTCGCAAATATGTATAACTTAATATGCTTGCGGTTATTTTTTTCGTCACCTTTAGTGTTGTTAAACGGGCGGGATGGAATGTATCTGGCGAATTATTGTTTTACGAGTTGATTGTACAGCTGTATAGCGTTTACGGTCGATTGCGTCCGCTATAAGTGCTGCATTGCCCTCGGCTGCTAGCGAGAGCCGCTTGTTGTGTGTGCGCGTGAGTGCGTGCGAACTTATTGCGCTCACATTGTTTCTAATTTACAGCTCTGCAGATCGTTAAATTATGCTCTTTTCAATTGTAGTACGAGTGCAAATGGAACACTAGTTATTTAAAGATCAATCCAGTCTAATATTAAAAATGCGAAAGCGTGTCTCTCTCTCTCACAGAAATAAATCAATTTACTTCTGTCTGTTACCTTTTCACGCTTAAACCACTGAACCGTATGAGATGAAATTTTGATATACATATAGTTTGTGTCCCGCGAAAGGAATCGGATAGTTTTAATCCCAGAAATCATTCTTCAGACGAAATCGCGGGCATCCTCCATTCATACTCGTTTTGTTAGAGTCAAATCTAGTAGTGGATGAACCTGATGTTAAGAGTTAGTGAAGTTCAGTTGCAATGATAACTGATGCGGCACGAATAGGCATGGATGCAAAATTTCCTATTAAAATATGTCATCATCAGCCTCCTAACTGCTGGGACACAGGCCTCCCCTATGGATAGAATATGGAGATTGGGTCGTGATGTGCCCACCACGCGGATCCAGTGCAGTTGGTGGATGCTAACGATTGCAGATTCCACCGAGACCAACAGCGTAACGTGCCGACTGAATCATGAAGGAGCTCGAGTTAGTTTTTGGCCACCCTTGCAATGACCGACCTTTGCGAAAGTTTCTTAACTTCCACAATCGCAGGCCGAACGCGCTAACCACCTGCGCCATCGAGCCCCTCGTTATGTATCTACGAGGGCAACGATGTAGGTTAGCTTAGATTTAAAGACATCTATCGGTTATTTCCGAAACTTAGTAAATATAGTGTAGAAGAACTTTCTAGTGAAGTATACCAAGATAATTGAATACTATCTTTAAATCATCTGCTGGCGAATTTTTCTACGAATCACTTACTACCAATGTTCTGCGATTTGGTGTCATTTAATCTCATACTGCATTGATAACTCGTGAAATGTCTAGGCTCGCGATAGAACTACTTCATTGATTGATATTGTTCAAGAAAACTTGATAGCTATAGAACGCCAATAGTTTTATGAGATGAATTGGACAAGAAATGAAAATATTACACACACTTTTTTATGTTAAAAGGGTGGCAAAAGAGCATGATATGATCCGCCTGTTGGTAAGCGGATATAGGCGCTTGCGATAAAAAAATAATACTCGCGCCGTTGCCTTTCCTGACCAATTTCTCTACTCCGTAGAGGCCAGGGTCCTTACTCACCGATAGAAACACGACACCACAAAAAGGTAGTGTTATTTTACTGTGGTCTTCTGTAAGGTCTAGGTTACTTCCCCAGACGGGCGCTCCAATTCGAGCGGATATTCCCCTATGCCCTACCTCTCTTGAATACTTGCGATACTTTAACCTTTTTACTGACAAATAAAATCGACTTTCAAAGGAATGACGTTATAGCAAGTAGTTGGTGTTAAAATGTTAATAAAGGAGTTATTAACGATTAAATTCAGTATGTAGGGAAGTAATACATTGACGTGAAACTGTTTGCTAATTGCGACTTATCCATGTTCAATTGCTTTGCTTTGAAAATTGGAGTTTTTATGCGAGCGTGCATGTTGTCAGTATATTAATTAGTGTTTAATACGATTGCCGCTAGCGAATTGTTATGTTTTTTTATGATTTATAATGTATTATTTATTATTTTAGTGGATGAAAATTGTATTTTAGTATGACTTAATTACTGCGATGATACCACGTCAAAATCCTACTAATATTATAAATGTGAAAGTTTGTATGTCTGTTACTCAATCACGCAAAAACTACTGAACGGATTTAAATGAAATTTGGTACATATACAGTTTATGACCTGGATTGAGACATAAGCTACTTTTTGCCCCGAAAAAATGTTAGGGATTATAAAAAACTAAAGATAACGCAGATGCGCGGGCGGCCGCTAGTTAAAAATAGAATGTCTATTTTTACAATGATTATTGATATTATTCTTAGAATACGCTGGGCATATTCAGTAAAAGTAAATAATGATTATCAAGTTCCAATAAGTTTATATGTACGTATTTCCATTTATGTACCATTCATAAAAGTTAACACATTTAATTAACCTGACATGTATAAAAATATGTTTTTTTCTATACAGTGTGATTCTTTTTCAGTACTGGTTGTGTGTAGTGGTGTTGTTGACTTCTGGGATTTTCTTCGCTGTCATCAATTTGTATTGGAAAAAAGGTAAGTTCGTTTTTCCTATGTTTATGTAACAGGCATGCGAAAATGAAGTTGTAAAGAAAGTGTGCCATGATAAGTGGATCATAAAATTTTATGATTCACGTTGTCTTTGTTTATGCTTATCTTTCCAGTTTCGATAAATCTTAAGCAAACTTAACTTTATGTTTAAAGGACATTGAATCCAAACTGTCTTTCGCTGTCTCATAGATTTTACTTTAAGTTAATACAGATATGAAAATGTTTTTGTATTATCGGCACTTATTTTTTTTTAAAGCTAGTGGTGGTGATAAAGTCCAGACGCGAAGATAATTAAATTAATAAACACTAGAAACTCCCACCATTTTCGTTTTCGCGCGTTTTCAGCATTTATTACACGTTATTTTAACTTTATAAACATTTGAAATTGAATCTGGACTGTTCCACAAAATTCTTCAAATGTATTTTTTTTGTTGTTATAATAAGATTAAGAAAGTACAGTAGTTAATTGAGCATTTGAAATTTGGTAGGTAGGCAATTTCAAGTAAACAGGAAACGGATATAATGCAAACACGTCTAACAGAGTGTAGCCGTTATAAAGTACATAATTTATAGCATCCCTTATGGAGCTTGGACACTTGATTCAGAATGTTTGCAGTTGCTTACTTCACACCTTTATCCATTCATCACTTAAGGTGTTTAATGCTTCACTTGGCTATTAGTGTTTGCTATTTGTAAACTTGACATCAGTCCATTGTTATTATGCGTAGTTTTTTCTCTTAGATTTTGCGGGTCCGGTCGTTACGCACCCATTCTGCGACGCCCCCGGCCGGGACGCACCCACAGTGAAAATTTCGTTATTGCGCTCCGCCCGCGCCGGGACGTACCCGTTTTAAAACATCCGTTTTTTTGACAGGAAATCTGAGCCAATACAATTGAAAACAAGTTTTTTGAATTGAAGTAAAGAAAATGAGAGTGACAAATATATTTATTTAATTTCAATATTAAGATTTTGTTTGTAAGTACTCAGGGTACATCAGTACCAGCTTCTCCCTCTGGATCGCATCCAGCGCCGAGCGGCTCGAATTGTTGACGATCAGGACTTTTTCGATAGGCTTCATCTTTTAACTTTGCGTAGAGATGGAGCTTCGCACTGCATCCTCTATCGTATTTATCACTGGGAGTGTTCTGAGGAATTATTCGGATTAATACCAGCTGCTGCTTTTCGCTATCGCACATCGCGACAAAAATTTCATCCGCACTATCTTGTTTTTACCATTTTCGACAAACTATTATTGTAATCTGTGGATAGTCGTAATTTTCTTTCAAATTGTACATCATTGATTCAAATATAGATATAATCTGTGTACTGGCCCTTAAATAAATAAAACTGTGTAATACATTGTCACCAGTAGTGTCTCCGGACCAATACGTCTTGAAAACCTTAAAAAAAGAACCATCGCATTTATTGTACTCCTGTCCCCGTAGCATGAGCACCATAATTTACATTATATAAGGTTTTTATCGCATGTAACTGTCGAACTCCATAGTAATTTGACAATTGAATATGATAGAAACGCTTTCTATGTTATCGTATCGCGGTGCTCATCATGCAGGTGTCTATAGGCGACGTTAATCACTTACCATCAGGTGAGCCGTCAGCTCCTATGCCCCCTACATAAAAAAGTACTCCCTTTAATCAATGTAATTAAAAATAAAAACTAAATGGTACATATATAATATATCATAAAAATATATTAGTTACCGAAATGAACACCGAACGGAAACAATGAAATGCAAGTGGTTACCAAAATAACACGGAAACAGTGTAAGGGTAGTTCGCCTATTGTGTAGGTTTATTACCTCAAAATCAAAGATTTAAAGTGGACAGCAGGCCCTCGTTAGTATCATTTTAAAAAATTATAGAACTTGACATAGCCACCTATTGCAATGCAGATTTATAAGAATGCTTTTTGTTATTTATTTCGTGTCAGTGCCCTAATTACTGCCAATTAATAATAAATAATTACACAAATTAGAAAGTGACAATTCTAAAGAAAAGTTTACTAGAAAAAAATCCACGCGGACCAGGCAGCGGACGGGACTCGAACCCGCATCCTTCGCTATCCGGGCGAATGCACTGACCATTATGCTACCACGGCCCTATTAGCCGCGTCGAAATTTTCCTAGCATTAAGCTGCAAGGCAGCGCCATCTCTTCGCATTGTAGGTAACCCACAATGTCAAATGAATACTTTTTCAAGTATTAAACATTTGAAAGAAGAAATAGCAATTATAGTTATGATTTTATTTATTTTTTAAGCATTTAACTGCTAGATGTTTAAATCTAAAGAAAAGTTTACTAGAAAAATATCCACGCGGACCAGGCAGCGGACGGGACTCGAACCCGCATCCTTCGCTATCCGGGCGAATGCACTGACCATTATGCTACCACGGCCCTATTAGCCGCGTCGAAATTTTCCTAGCATTAAGCTGCAAGGCAGCGCCATCTCTTCGCATTGTAGGTAACCCACAATGTCAAATGAATACTTTTTCAAGTATTAAACATTTGAAAGAAGAAATAGCAATTATAGTTATGATTTTATTTATTTTTTAAACATTTAACTGCTAGGTTTAAATCTAAAGAAAAGTTTACTAGAAAAAAATCCACGCGGACCAGGCAGCGGACGGGACTCGAACCCGCATCCTTCGCTATCCGGGCGAATGCACTGACCATTATGCTACCGCGGCCCTATTCTTTAGATTTAAACATGTAGCAGTTAAATGCTTAAAAAATAAATAAAATCATAACTATAATTCTCCTCCCCTCTTGGATCCTCTCCCCTCTTGGATTCTATTCAGTTCGGACGTGTTTCTATTTTAATAAATTTCGAAATATTATAAAAATTCACCTCAATAAAATCTCAGTGACTACCAGGCAACAATAAACGCAAAGAGTTAAAGTTTAGTGTAGTGTGGCGCTTGGCAACAGTGGGAGCAGTAAGACACGCCTCCAATAATCTAGTGTGCGTAAGGGCATCCTCATTGTCGCTGCATTGATTGACTTGCGTGTGCGTAACCCCGCCCAAGCGTTTTGCACTTTGCCGTCGGAACATTTAGGCCTAAACGAATTTAACTATGTCGGTGAAACGCACGCCTCCGCCTCGTAATGAATCAAATTTAAAGGCTCCCCCGTGGTGCATTATGCTTCGGACCCTGAAATTAATTTATCTATTGGTTCGGGCAACAAATACGAGACCACTACTTTAACTTAACGTCAAAAACGGACATTTGATGAGTACGCCACGACCGATTCAATACCAATGTCTAACTTTGAAATAAAGTTAATGTTCACCGAGTTGAAAACCCAGCTCGAACAAAAATTCGAGTCTCTTGCTTAATCAAAATAAGGATATTCGGAAATCTGTAGAATTTATTTCGCAACAATACGATGACCTTCTTTCTATGATCGGAAGATTGGAGCGAGAAAATACTGATTACAAGATTCGAGTGGCCAACTTGGAGGACAAACTGGAGATGCTCGAAAAAAATGTACGAAGCTCATCATTAGAAATACGAAATATTCCAAAACAAGTAGATGAAAGTCGCGAGGTTTTAACTCAAATAGTCAAGAATATTAGCTCCTCAATTTGCCCTGATTCACCGATACATGACCTTGAGATACGCGACATACTGCGGAACAAGAGCGAAAGTATAATCGTTAATTTTAATTCTACTTACAGAAAGGAAAGTATTGTGTCTGGCTTGCGGTTATATAACAAGAATAGGCGTGATGCTAAACAGCATACATTAAGCACCCAGGATATCAAGTTATCAGGTCCTAATCGTATAATTTATTTGTCCGAATATTTGACTAGCAAAACACGAAGACTACATTATCTCGCACGAGAAAACGTTAAAAACAAACGGCTCGCTGCAGCCTGGACATCCTACGGTAAAGTTTACGTCAAAAAGGAAGAAAACCAGATACCAGTGCGGGTGAATTCGGAGATCGAACTTGCCAATATTACAAATTGACTGTATAGTGTAGTTTATCGCTTCTACATTTTTCTTACAATTTATTGGCATCCTCTTATATATTTTTCTATATTAAAAAAGATTAATTTCTTACTTAATTATTATAAGCTTAAAATTACTATATTAACGATAAATAAAAATGGTTTTGCTTATTTACATAACTGTATTCGTACAATGACACATTCGAACACAAATAATACTTATACAGACTTTTCACTTACACATACATATACACTCATTGGTGCGCTTTTTTATGGACGGCTTTCTTACTGCATAGTGATGAATTCTATACATTTGTCTTCTTATACAATCGCTGGAGTTTTCTTTTTATATAAAATAAGCTTTCATTTCGTGCTTAACATCTTGGTAAATATTTATAAAATTCGATAGTCAAAATAAAATACTGGTAAATAACATTGATAATGTCTCTGCTGCTTCATCAGTATTATGTGACACTCATGAAATCCGGAATCTGTTGTGCAATCGTAATAAGTGTATAAATATCCTAACTCAAAATATACGCAGCTTAGCTGCAAACTTTGCTAATCTTGAAATATTGTTAAATAGCTTAAATACGCTACCCGACATCATTATTCTTACTGAGTGCTGGTTGCAAAGTAACCCGTTGATACCCACTTTAAATGGTTTTTCCTCTGTTTCCTCTTGTAACCCTGCAAATCAGAATGATGGTGTAATAGTTTATTACAAAAATAATCTGACCGGATTAACGATCCACGAACCCAACATAGCGGAAGCTAGTGCCCTACTAATTAAACCTAATTCTGATACTGTGATTTTAGGTGTCTATCGTCCCTGCGCTTTCCGTAACAAAACTAACTTTATAAATTCACTGAGCTCCGTCCTCGATACGCTACGAAATCAGAAAAATATTATTATTATGGGCGACATAAATATTGATATTACACCCGAAAATCTAGATCTAGACGGCGAAAATTACCTCAATACGTTAGCTTTCCATGGTCTTCTTCCAGCCCACACTCTTTCGACCCGCGTCTCCACATGTCTTGATCACGTTATTCTTAAGTCTCGTAACCCAGCTCTTGCATTAGTCATCCAGTCAACTATAACGGATCATTCTTCGGTACTACTTTCTATTGAGCATAGTAATTATCTTCCGCTTTTACCTAAGACTATTAAAAAAATAGACTACGAAGGCCTTTCCATTTCATTTAAAAATTTGGATTTTTCTGCCATATTACTCTCCGATAATCCGGATGTAGCAACCCATTGTTTCATAGAGATTGTTCATGTTCAATCTACAGTATCATCTCATACTATCTCTGTTACTCTATCACACCGGCGTAGACCCGTTAAGCCATGGATCACTCCCGGCTTATTAAAATGTATACACAATCGAGATGCAATGCATAAGAGACTGAGAAGCAATCCCAGCAATTCCTTATTACGCATAACATATTATAGATATAGCAACGCGCTACTAAGAAAAATAAAACAAAATTACGAGAAAAGCCTACTCCTCAGTGCGGGGTCGAATTCGAAAAAAATATGGGATGCCATTAAAGATGTCAGTCATTTAAACAAGACGGCTACCAGATCCAGTGACCTGCTCCAATGTAAGCCAACCCCTACTGAGTCTACCACCTACGTCAACTCCTTTTTTGCTGGTATTGGTAAGTCACTTGCAGAGAAAATCTTAAAAAGTAATTTTCCTCAACAGTATTCATCTAACTCATCTTCCTATCCTTCTTTACAATCGTTTGCGTTGGTTGAAACTACAATTGAAGAAGTGGAAAACACAATCTTTTCGTTGAGATACAACTGTGTTACTGGATGGGACAATATTTCTTCATCGTTGTTAAGACGTTACTCTAAAATTCTAGCACCTCCAATAACTCATATATGTAATATCTCTATGAACCTTGGCATTTTTCCATCTGCTTTTAAAAAAGCTATCATCCATCCTATTTTTAAGAGCGGGGACCGTGGCCTTGTTAACAATTACCGACCAATTTCTATCCTCTCTGCCTTGTCTAAAGTTCTGGAACGCCTAATTAATAAGCGATTGGTAAAATTTCTTGAGGAAAAGGGACTATTATCTTGTAATCAGTTTGGCTTCAGATCTCATAGATCTGCATCTGATGCTGTGCAAGAACTGACGGACTGTATTGTCAGAGATTTGGACAATCGCAAAAAATGTCCCGCTATCTTTTTAGATCTCGCGAAGGCGTTCGATAAGGTCTCGGCCCAAATCCTTTTGAAGAGGTTAGAAAGTATTGGTATACGTGGTAATCAGCTAGCCTTATTCAATAGCTATCTAAGTGGTCGATGTCAGTGTGTTGTTATATCAATAACTGTGTTACTGGATGGGACAATATTTCTTCATCGTTGTTAAGACGTTACTCTAAAATTCTAGCACCTCCAATAACTCATATATGTAATATCTCTATGAACCTTGGCATTTTTCCATCTGCTTTTAAAAAAGCTATCATCCATCCTATTTTTAAGAGCGGGGACCGTGGCCTTGTTAACAATTACCGACCAATTTCTATCCTCTCTGCCTTGTCTAAAGTTCTGGAACGCCTAATTAATAAGCGATTGGTAAAATTTCTTGAGGAAAAGGGACTATTATCTTGTAATCAGTTTGGCTTCAGATCTCATAGATCTGCATCTGATGCTGTGCAAGAACTGACGGACTGTATTGTCAGAGATTTGGACAATCGCAAAAAATGTCCCGCTATCTTTTTAGATCTCGCGAAGGCGTTCGATAAGGTCTCGGCCCAAATCCTTTTGAAGAGGTTAGAAAGTATTGGTATACGTGGTAATCAGCTAGCCTTATTCAATAGCTATCTAAGTGGTCGATGTCAGTGTGTTGTTATTGATGGGTACACTGGGCCTTATGCTCCGATAGAGTATGACGTTCCGCAAGGGAGTATACTTGGCCCAACACTCTTCCTCGTGTACATTAATGAACTGTGCTCCCTCATTGTTCCCAGCGGCAAAGTTGTCTGTTACGCCGATGATACCGCCCTTTTGTTCTCGGGTGACACGTGGAAGGAGGTTTTTGACTGCGCGCAGTCTTTATTCAACCTTGTCTCAGACTGGCTACGCTGTAATCTTCTAACCCTCAACATCCAAAAGACTTGTTACCTTACTTTTTCTATTCGTTCTCTTCCGGCTACTGTGATTCCTTATAAAATAATAACCCATTCACATTCATCTGATATTCCTTTTCCGTGTTCTTGTTCTTCACTAACTTGTGTAGAATCCATTAAATATCTAGGTGTCACATTAGACAATAAACTTAACTTTAAAGCTCATCTCAAAATAACCTCTGGCCGAATCCGTAAGCTTATATATGTTTTCAAAAAACTACGTCATGTTGCCGAGCGGCATATAATTAAAATGGTTTATCTAGCACTTTGTCAATCTATGGCATTACCACCTGGGGTGGAGCCGCCAAATCCAACCTTCTATGCTTAGTGCGTGCTCAAAGAGCTATACTGAAAGTGTGTATGTTCAAGCCAATTCTCTTTCCCACGTTTGAGTTATATCAAATCACGCAAGTGCTCACTGTAAGACAACTGTTTATCCTGTGTACTGTTCTAAAAAAGCATAAAGATCGAATACCTGTAACAATAACTACGCGTACAGCACGACGCCCGCCTGTATATGTATCTCCTATACTTAACACCTCTTTCTCTAATCGTTTTTATAGTTTTCTTGGACCATTTCTCTACAACAAACTAAATCGAAAATTGTCAATACATTTACTCACCAGATTCTGCTGCAAGAAGAAAGTCACCAATTTCCTGCAAAACCTAAACTATTTTGAAACAGAAAGCCTTATGAATTCTTGAATTACGAGCCAGTCCCACACGCCCCCTCCACACACGCACACTAACACACACACATACGCACACACACACCTCACACATGCACATAAACACGCACACACACACACACACACACAAACTTCACACATGTACATAAACACCATACTCACAACCAACACTACCATATTCCATATCATGCAAAATAATATAAATGTAATTTTAGATTTTATCGTTGTTCTCCTTTTTTTTGCTTGAACACTTTCTTAAGCGGGGAGAGGCTGGTGCACTGAGACACAGGCGTCAGCTTAGTTTGGTCACCAGTCTCATGAAGCATGTATAAGATTGTGGAGAGAAATAAAGTTTATTATTATTATTGCTTCTTTCAAATGTTTAATACTTGAAAAAGTATTCATTTGACATTGTGGGTTACCTACAATGCGAAGAGATGGCGCTGCCTTGCAGCTTAATGCTAGGAAAATTTCGACGTGGCTAATAGGGCCGTGGTAGCATAATGGTCATTGCATTCGCCCGGATAGCGAAGGATGCGGGTTCGAGTCCCGTCCGCTGCCTGGTCCGCGTGGATTTTTTTCTAGTAAACTTTTCTTTAGATTTAAACATCTAGCATTTAAATGCTTAAACAATAAATAAAATCATAAGCGACAATTCATTATTAGTAAGAAAATAATAATTAGCCACCTATTACAATGCACATTAACAAGAATGCTTTTTCTTATTTATTTCAAGACAGTGCCCTAATTACAGCCAATTAATAATAAATAATTACACAAATTACAAAGTGACTATTCATTATTAGTAAAATAAAAATAATTTATAAAATAGCTACTTCATTGTGTGAAGATAGACGTAGGCAATCGCTCACCGCTATAGACAACCTACTACTACTCTTTTTCAAACAATTATGTTCACAACAGTCAGTACCTTACTCAAGTATCTTGGAAAATGAAGAAACAACGGTAGCGTTCGTCCGTCCAATTCGAACAATTTCTCAGAACACTCTCCTTGATAAGAAGTTCCATCTCTACGCAAAGCCAAAAGATCAAGCCTATCGGAAAGGTCCTGATCGTCAACAATTCGAGCCGCTCGGCGCTGGATGCGATCCAGAGGAAGAAGCTGGTACTGAGGTGCCCTGAGTACTTACAAACAAAATCAAAATAATTAAATTAAATAAATAAATATCTCATTTTTGTTTATTTCAATTCAAAAAAACTTCTGTTTTCAACTCAAGGCTCAAGTTTCCTGTCAAAAAAGCGGATGTTCTAAATAGGATGCGTCCCGGCCGGGGGCGTAGCGGAATAACAAAATTTTCACTGTGGGTGCGTCCCGGCCGGGGGCGTCGCGGAATGGGTGCATAACGGCTGGACCCGATTTTACCCACTAACAACTGAGTTTATATGTCCTTTATATACTTTTCCTTTGTTCTAGTGCTCACAATATTCGGAACCAGTGTTTATGGAGGCGCTGTGATCGCCACTTCGCTGGACTACTTCTTCGAGAGGATGATGATGCTCAAATGGGTTAGTACATAGGGAGCACTAAAAATTTCCGGTCACCTACTTAAATAATATTTTACTAATTCCTTATATTAAATCAAAAAGGCACTCGTGTCTTAAAAGTGCGCCGCTTAAATTAGGTGCATGCATAGAATTCGCGATAGTCACAATTTGACATCCAAACATGTGGCACTCTATATAACAATATTGCGGATATTCTGTGTTGAAAAGATAGAACAATACCTTCGATGATTCTATAAAGTGCACAAATACTTGTCAAGAACAAGTAACACCAACATCCACGGCAGGGCACCACATTTCATTCGTAAGAGTATAAAAGTTTATTTTTTGCAAAAATCACGGTTTTTCATGCATGAATGTTATTCGCTTATATTCTCTTCATTCATTTTTTATTCTTCATTTTTTATCAAGAAAATGACATCGATACAGGTTGACCGTTTGTAGAGAGATAGAAAGGAAAACGCAGTCGGTTGCCAAGCGTCATTGGATGTGTGTTCATCTCCGTGTTTCAGAAGGCAGGTTTAGCCGTTGGTCCCGGCTGCATCTACACACACCAATCCGCAATTCCGCACTGGGCCCGCGTGGTGTATCATGCATGACACAATCTCCCTATTTTATCCACAGAAAAGGCGTGTGCTCCATAAATGGGGACCTTAATAGGCTGATGATGATGATGAATAATAAGGTTTACTTATAAGGGACAAACTTGTGCAAAACCGCAAACAAACAAACTTGCGCAGTAGACGTTTACCTATGCATGCAAATTTTCTACTGCCCAGGCTCCATGGTCAATGATATATGCTCAATACCATTGTGTATAATTTAATTAACGCTACGCAGAAACTTTGGTGACCTTATTAGACTTCAGTACCCTTAGCACGAACCAATATCGAATTCGAATAGTTTGCGAGTGCGAAATGTCATTGTCAAATTTTGTAAAGAAAATTGAACAACAGCGTCATGACGGTACGCCCGTACGAGAACTACAGTCCATCAAAGCTAAGTACCGTTTGACGTTTCATGTTTTTCAAACAGATATAACTTTGTTTAAGCGTAACTTATTCAAATTCGATAACCTTTTTCGTAAAACCATGAATTTATAAAGGTTTTATTATTGGATCTAAAAATGTACAATTCTTAATATCTAAATTTAATTGAAAACTTTCAAACAAAGCAAAATAAACAATATTTACACAATAAATAAGTTCTAATAGTTCTATTCTTGACCTCATTGCAAAGTCACATAGTTAGGTCACTGCTCGTAGTGTTGCGACTCTTCGGAATCAATTGTGTACGAAAAAATCGTGTACATTATTCGGAAAATCAAATTTATTACTTTCAAATTATCAATTAACGATTTTGTAAAAATACATGACAGATGACAAAATGATCAAATTTGATGCCTCGGTCCACAATCTACTCAGATTACGATGTTGTAAGCGCTAGAAGCGCTTATGGCCAATGTCAGTCCACGGCCAGAAAGCGAATTTTCGACGTAATGTTTAGGGGTAGAGCGCAATTTAATTTTTGTATAATTTCACGTTACTGCTTGATCGCATAATGCATTTAATACATAGGTACCCTAAATAAATTATTTTAATTATTTTCAAATAAATCTATATAGGCGAAATAGCTCCAGAAAAAAGATTTTTTTATCAGACAACACTGCCGACCACAAGCGCACGCGGTCCCCCTCGCCCGCGGCAGCAGTCTCTCGCCATCTCGGAAGCTGACTGTGCGCGTACCTACTTTCTCGTTTGTGTTTTACAATTTGTGACTTGGCTATTACTTTTCTGGACTCTGAACTAAGCAAGTGTTTATTAATAATGTCGAAAAGAGGACGTTCTTTGAACAGCCAGGCTCGTGAATTGGTGGTGAAATTACACGAGTATTTTGAGCGTGAATGTCAAAATGGTGGAGCTCTACTGCCAGTTACACAAGTTCGGGATCGCGTCGGTGAAGCTCTCGGTATTGGTAGCCGCACCGTCGGCAAAATATTAAGTGAAAAATATGGGCCTTGGGGGAGTGACAGTAACGTACTTCACACGCCGAAAAAAAGGAAAAGAAATAAACCTGTGACAGGTATCGATGACTTCAATAGCCATGCTATTAGAAACCATATCTATGGTTATTTTACAAGAGGCGAATTTCCAACATTGGCAAAGTTATTTGCAACTTTAGAAGATGCCGGGCTGTACAAGGGAAGCATAGAGTCGTTGAGAACGATAATAACAGGAATTTTTGGACGAAACATGACTAAATTGCAACCACTCTGTGCCGAAAACATGGACAGATGATTCTGAAGCTTCGTGCTCAAAAGTGCCGATAGGGAAAGGTGGACGCCTCATTATATGCCATGCTGGATTAGCGTCTGCAGGTTTCGTGGAAAATTTATTATTAGCTTTCCAATCTAAAAGCACAAAAGAGTATCATGAAGAAATGGACGCGGAAAGGTTCCAAGAGTGGTTCCTAAATTTACTAACGAATATCCCTCCTAACAGCACAATTATAATGGATAATGCCCCATACCACTCTGTGCAAATTGATAAAGCACCAACATCAGCCAATAAGAAACAGATTTGGTGGCATGGCTGCAAAGAAAAGGAGTGGAAGCCGACATGTCACTATTAAAAGCTGAATTGTTACATTTAGTGAAATTGCATAAACCACCAAGACCGACTTATGCTATTGACCAATTAGCCGAAGAACACGGGCACAAAGTCATACGGCTACCTACGTACCATTGCCAATATAATGCCATTGAACTGATTTGGGCCCACTTAAAGGTAATACTTTATAATATAATAATATTTTTTAGTAGTTGATTATATTAATAACAAGAACTTGTTCTTAATAAGCTGAAATATATTGTGAATTGAGATTTTCCGTTAAGTACTGTAATACTATAAAACATTACCCTTCTTCTTCGCAGTTGTGTAAAATTGTACATTACCTAACAAAATATTGCAAGATTAGCTTAACACATTTTGTAGCCACATAACACGAGTGCCTCTAGCTTTTATAATTTAAACTAGTCTCCCACCTAATAATTATATAATTGTTTTACAGGTTATGCAGCAAGACACAACCACGGAGGAAAAACAAAGAGGAGCTGGCCTAAGCAACTGTGCACTGTGATTTTCAACTAGGTCCTGACGTCATCATTGTGGGCGGGGCCTAAGTCAGTATGCTTTCAGCGTTCGTCAGGTGCACACTTAACGAGACTCGCATTATAAGTGTTTTTTTGCGTTTTTAACAAGAAAAGGATGAAGTTTTGTGTTTTACTATGTCAAAGTTACTCAGACAGACGTTCTGATAATATGGATGGCATCACATTTCATTTGTAAGTAATGTTATACGTAATTAAATATATAAGTTCTAGAACATTCTCAGCCTCAGCTATCAGCGTTAAAATTCTACTACTTGACACCAGATGGCGACACTTTTAGGAAGAAAATACACAAGTTTACGTATAATTTTGCAGTAGTATATTGTAATAATCATACGTAAATACTGAAAACTGTTATACACTTATTCCTAAATAACTTTTAGTATCTAAAACAGTAATTTTATCAATATATTACTAACTGGCCGCCATCTGTCGTCATATAGAATAACTTTTTAAACGTTACAAATATCCAGGGCCGTAATACGTATTAAATTATTTTACCAAGTAAATAAATTTTAATTATTTTTATGTTCGTTTTAGATTTCCATCCAACGATAATTTAAAACAGCAATGGATTTCAAAACTTAATAGACCGGATTGGACACCATAGAAGAAGAAGATATTTCCATTTTAAATGAATCTTCTGTGCAAAAAAATAATATTACATCAGAACGTTATCGCATTTTAAATAAAATGAGTTTCGAGTCTTCGGATAGCATGGATGTCGAGCCTATGCCTGACGATATGTTATTGGAATTTGATGAACAATTAAATACAACTATAGGTGACTATTTGCGCCGTCATATAGTAGCATATATTTCTGGGTATGTGGTCAAATATTTACATTCCAAGATCAAATGTGAGAGCTGTCTCAAAGAATTATATGCTGATAACTACGACGATAGTGACCTTGATTTGATAAAAACTAAAAATAAGGGTGGTCTTACTTTCCCATCTAGAGATGTCATAAAAATATGTATACGGACCGAAGGCAGTATTCGTTGTGTTAAATCGCAATCTTTGAATACTCCTAACTTTCGTCAACATAAAATTGTATCGAATACATTAAAATCACTTATTGGACAAGATTGTTTCAAAAAATCGGCCAACCATATGTTTGACCAATCACCTACAGTTAATCATGTTGTATTTCTGATGAAATCGATTGCAGAAAAATATATTGATATTCGTTTTAAGCATTTTGCCACAATACAAAACGATAGGGCAACCAACCGACAACAACTAACCAAAACTATTATTTACAGGTAATTGATGTTTTTTAATAAAATTATGTTTGTAATAACATTTTATTATTTTTAAACTACCTTAAAATTTAAATCTAAAGAAAATATAACTAGAAAAATATCCACGCGGACCAGGCAGCAGACGGGAGCGGGTGCGGGTTCGAGTCCCGTCTGCTGCCTGGTCTGCCTGGATTTTTTTTCATCAAGCCGTTACATGTTTTAAAATAATAAAAATTATACCTTAAAAATTTTAAAATCGGTCAAATTTGTTAACGTTTATTTTATTTATTTACCTACATATTTCATTTTTTTGAAGCTTCAAGTTCTGAGTACGTCCCATTATATACAAAACTTTTGAACATCTAGTGTTAGATAGCTGAACTACTACGTAGTAACATAAATATCAACCTAAGCTAGTTTTGCTATTAGCCGATAGATGAAATATTGAGAAGTGGGCGGAGCTGAACACCCCGCATCCCGCAAATTATCACGCGTCGTTTCTTGAGGAAATTTAATCACCACACCTCCTCTTTGTTTTTCCTCCGTGGACACAACACAAAACCACCTTTCAGTGTCAAGAAAATGGAAGGCTTATTAAAGAAAGCATGTGCGCAAGTTACACAAGAAGATTGGTCAAAAGTAGTAGAAAAAACAAAGAAAATAATAATGGACGACTTCGACAGAGACGTAAAATTCGATAATTTCATGGATAATCAACTAGTCATTAATTTAAATGACGATGATGACGAGGACAATAATGATTCCAGTACTTGTAGTGAATAAAAAAATATCCTAAACATTACTTTTATTTAAATGCGTTTCGACCTTTAGAACCTTAAGATTTTTTCGGTATTCTATCCTCAGATTACTAGTAAAACCTAAATTTACCAATAAACAACCTTTTACAATAACTTATTTAAAAAATATAGGAAAAGAGTACAGAGAAATAATATCTTAAATTTCGGATATTATAGTCATTGATCTCTTAAAATTCGGATATTATAGTAATCGATCTCTTAAAATTCAGATATCATAGTAATCGATTTTTTAAAACCCATCCCTATTATTCAATTTGTCAGAACTGTCAAACGGTACTTTTTAGATTTGATGGACTGTAAAAATCAGTACACATGTGACAATGACATTCCGCATTGGCAAACTATTCGAATTCGATATTGGTTCGTGCTAAGGGTACTGTAGCTTTAACACTAAGGTCCGGCAATTGTTGTAGTTGTGGGAGCGCGCTAAGCTCGAGCCGGCAGTGGCACCGCCTTGCCGTCTGTCGTGGCTGACACTGGCTGCGTGGCCGGCTGCCGCTATAGTGGGACTGACTGCCCAGTGCGCGCTCACCGCGACCGGCATCTACCACGAGCAGAGTGAGTGGAATCGTGTGTATAATGCGACAGGGATCTTTATGAATATGGCGAAAATTTGAACTAACGCCGCCGTCTTTGAAAACGTTTAATTTTTTACTAACGGCCGCCCGCGACTTCGTACGCGTTGAGTTAGTTAGAAATAAAGGTTCACTGCTCGTTCCCCGTAGGTGATAGCGTGATAATATGTAGCCTATATGTTGACCCGACTTCTTAATAATATTCGTGCCAAATTTGAAGTAAATCCATGCAGTTCTTTTTGAGTTTATCCCGGACATACATACAGACAAACAGACAAAAAAATCTAAAAACTATATTTTTGCCCTCGGTATCGAATGTAGATCACACCCCAAGTATTCTTTTAAAAAATATTCAATGTACAGTTTTGACTTTTCTACAATTTTATTATATGTATAGATATCATTCACGATTATTTACGTATAAAGTGACGCCCTCCCTGAATTACCACTTACATTCACAAAGATCTTTGTCGCTTTATTTATTGTAGCGTGGGGACCGCCCCGCCATATACTGGGGCTCACTGCTCCCTTCATCTACCACGAGCAGAGTGAGTGAGATCTTGTTATTGATTGTGCTTATACCACCGGCATCAACCGCGAGTAGAGTAAGTGCAAACATGTTAATCTACACCCATGCAAAACCGCTATTAAAGATTCTGAAACAGTTAGCTTATTGCCAACATTAAAACATACAATGTCTTAATTAAAAAAAACATTATAACAATTTTCATAATAACACTGTTGCTCTTTAAATCCCTTCCGCGCCAAGGGCATGCTCATCAGACAACCACAATTTTCACTGCTCGATGCGTGGTATTATGAATTTCAAAAAATAGCATTTTCTTACACGCGCGTGTCACTACCACAGCGCTGAAACTTTTCCTGAATTTCAAGTTCTTAGAACGCCAGGTCGGACAAAAAACGTCCACAATTTTCTCATACTTAATATATTTTTATATGTGATTTTAAAATTATAAAACTGAGTTTTTATTTATAACATCATCAGTTTGATTTTTTTTTCAAACTGGAAATATCACCCCCACCTTTATTTTTTAAGACATTCAAAATTTTAAAAGTTTATAATAAATCGCTTTCCAACGAACATTTGCGATTATTTCTATAATTAACAAAAGTATCGTAACAGCGTGTGGTGAGTGAATAACTTAATATCTTGCCAACACCCAACGCTATAATGAAGAAGCAATTAAAAGTACACTACATATCCTCAAAGGAGATTGCTCAGCTTCCATACATGTTTGGCCTAAAGACCAATAATCATGAAAAATTGTTTCCTAGATTCGAAATTATATGTAAATTACTGTAGAAACGAATATTATTGACGGACACCCCTGAGAACTTCTATAAACCATATACACTGAACATATTAAAATAATAGAAAACAAATAAGTTATATAGTAAACTAGGGAAATCAAGCCAAGTACACCCCTGAGAACTTCTATTAACCATATACACTGAACATATTAAAATAATAGAAAACAAATAAGTTATATAGTAAACTAGGGAAATCAAGCCAAGTACCTGGAAATAATTAATTATGGATTAGATTCAGGTTTATAGAGCATGTAGATTAACAGATAGTTGCCTGTTTTTAAAGTTAATTCATAAGAGTAACTTTTAAAATCAGGTGTCATTTCCGGTTATAATAAGGTACTCTGTGACAGAAACTGTGTGATGATTGTGAATGAGTCACAGATTAGAGAGAATTTTTAAACTCTCGTTACCCAAAGAAAGCTAAGAGATTTAGGTTCTATAGCCATATATTCAGTAGCTTCATTATTTTTGTTATGTTTTTAAGATAACCATATTTTAGATTTTTAGTGTATCACACCTTATAATTTTATTTATTTATTAATTTATAGTCAGGGAACGTAGGCCCATAGATAGATACCTTAAAGTCTAACATATATACAGATTATAATGTGTTTATGGAGGAGTTGTTTGGCGTAAAATGTATGGCAATAGACTTTATGATATAATAATTGTCTGAGCACATTTGCATCTAGTGAAAATAATAATATATAGTTGTGGATATTAATACCACAGTGTAATAAAAAAAATGATTTATTTTATCGATCTTTACAAAATAGATTTGTTTTTATGTTATACTAGCAAACCCGGCGAACTCCGTTTCGCCACCAGATGGCTTCGTTTTATGTAACATTTCGTTTGGTGATTAAAAGAAGATTTTTTTTTTTAATTTTTCCTGAATTTTCTTTGCTATAAACCTCACGGAGCCCGAGACCTTTCCAACGAATGCAAAACCGTGGAAATCGGTTCGTGCGTTCTGGAGTTATAGCGTCAGGAAGGAAAACCCGACTTATTTTTATATAGTAGATAAACAACTTCGATCAGTCTTTGGCTGAATGTTACTACACCCATAGCCATTAAAAATGATTCGTATGTTTTCCAAACCGGTAAAATTAAAAGTCTTTTTTAAATTAAATATATTATACAAAGGTGTCCGTTTAAATCTAATGACTGTAAATTAAATTATAAATTACGCCAAGAATTACCGTGTATGTCAATATTTTTTGTGCATTTAGGCCAATTTGAGCAATCTCCTTCCCAGCATCATTCATCAACATTGGGATGCTCATCAAAATAATTTATTTTGCTGATCGAAGTTCGTACACGTAAAAGATCACGAAGCAACCGCAGTTTTAGTAGGAATTCGTAAATTTTCAGATAAATATTATTAATTTAATTATTTATTTAAATGCTCACTTTATTGTCCTAAATAATTTTACTGCGAAATATTCCAGTTGTTAGGCTCATGGTTTCGAAACAGCTACTGTCCAGATTGGAAATAAATTTAGTAAAAAATTCTTTCAATTTATAAAACTGTGTCGCATAAGGGTGTCAATGCGTTTCACGATATTAAAAATCCCATCATTGATGCGTTTAACTGTTAGATTTTCACAATACTTATTTATTGAAATGTTTAAAACGCCTACGAAGAACCAACTTTTAAGAGGTCATTTATAAGCAGGATAATGTTATTAAATTAAAAAAATTAAGCATTTAACTGTTAGATGACTCAGGAGCTCGATGGCGAAGTGGTTAGCGCATTCGGCTGCGATCGTCGACGCTAAGCAACCTTCGCAGTGGTCAGTAATTAGATAGGTGACCAAAAATTTACCATCTCGAGCTCCTCCGCGCTTCAGAAGGTATGTTAAGCTGGTTGTTAGCACCCACCAATCCGCACTGGGCCCGCGTGGCCCAATCTCCCTATTCCATCCATAAGGAAGCCCTGTGCACAGTGGGGACTGGGCTGATGATAAACTGCTAGATGTTTGAATGTAATATAAATATTACTAGAAAAGACTACTTTGTCCAGGTTTCAGACGAGATTCGAACCCGCATCTTCTGGGCGAAGGATTATGTTGTTACGTAGAGATTTACAATAACATAACTAAAAACTAAACAGCTGAGACTTGAATAATATTTTTATAAGTTATGAATTGGTCAATGTACGCATATTTTCCACGACACCCTGTAGCTGTATAAAAAACCTTTTATCCTTAAAACAAGTATTTATACAAACATAATTTATTTATCAAAGTTTACATCCCAAAGTTACGTGGAATTACTTAGACGCTTGAATTTTTAAAGAGGTTTACTCACATGTAATCTGCTGTAACACATGAGATAAACATAGAAAATGAGGGTCGTTTAACTTAGTTCACCATTCACAGGATAAAAATAGTAATAAACGATTATTTTATTTCTATTTATTTATCATTTCCTTGTGAGAACAGAGAAGCCAAAACGCAACACAAGTGACAAAATTACAAAAAAAACATGCCTAATTAATAATAATATAAACAACAACATGAAAATTCAATAAATAATATATATATATATATATATATATATATATATATATATATATATATATATATATATAAACATGTCATAAAGAATGTCATACTTAATTACAAGTCGAAATTAATATTAATAGATTACAAGTCTAAATTATTCACCATCATGTCATCTAATGCACTATAAAATCGGGATAAAAGATGTTGCAAAGAATCTGCAAATATGTTTATATTATCGTGCTGAGTGAGGTCGTAGTGCCTTGACATCTCTTATTTGATTAGATAAACCATAGTTTCGTTTATCGTGATACATAATAGAGTATTTCAATACATTTGCATAAATATCGCTCACATACAATAGATTAAACATATTCATATAGCAAGTGTATTGACCATCCGTTAATTCCGGAATTCAACGTTTTTCCATTCTGGTTCTATTTCCCTAAAATCGGGAATATTTCCTGTGATTGGCGGCATGGCATGCTGAATCTACATATATTATAACATCCGGGTAATAGCGTCGAAGAGAATTGTTTGGAGTAAATACCGAAACAGTTCTATCTTCTAAACAAAGGTAAACAGGAAAATGCCTAGTTTCTTTCTGTTTCTTTACAGCTTAAACTATTGTCAGAAAGGCTTAAATTGTACTATCATATAAAAAAAAATGGGTGCGTGTACTTATGTAGGCGCGTGAGAAGTTATCCTTCTTTGGCATCGTTTAAAATTAGTTTTTAATTGCATGCAAATAATTAATTACAATAAATTAATAAAAAGTCTGGAAAAGGACACAGTCAATAAAGTTCAGTTTTAATTTGAAAAAATAAATAAATAATCAAAATATTCAATTAAAATCGCTACTGAATATAATTTATTAGAACATATGTGATTTGCACTTGTATGAAACTCAAACACGTATTCCGAATATACAAACTAGAAACATGTGGATAAATATTATAAATATGAATACCTATAACTGTTACTTTATTACAAAAAATAAAGATGTGGTTTTTGGTTCTACTACACCAATGGTCAAGAGATGGCGCTGTAGTCTCCTGAATCGCGCTTTGGTTCCGTTGTTCCAGATTAATAAATACTTTTGATATTATAAATATGAATACCTATAACTGTTACTTTATTACAAAAAATAAAGATGTGGTTTTTGGTTCTACTACACCAATGGTCAAGAGATGGCTCTGTAGTCTCCTGAATCGCGCTTTGGTTCCGTGGTTCCAGATTAATAAATACTTTTGATAGGCCTTCACAATGCAGTCGTTAGCACCCACTAAATAGAGATTCTATTTCTATTTTGTTGGTAGATTTTCTTAATGTGCGGTGAACACAAAAGTAACAGCATGAAGTTGGTCGCTAAAGCGACCAACTTCATGCTGTTAATTTTTGTGTTACAGTGATGCGCGCGCATCTTAAAATTTCACTCTCATCATTTTTTCATAACGCGCCTAAAGAAGTATAACTTCAAAAACTTTATTTAAATATATTCATTTTATTTATTTAGTTTGCAGACCTTTTCACGTCGTTATATAATCAAGATATTTAGACATAAATGTCCAAATAAATATATATACAAACACGCTTGAAACGCTCAAAACGCAATAATTTAGTTTAGTAAACCAACACTACATCAAAACCAATTACTTAAACAAAATTATACGACTGCCTATAGAATAATTTTCACGATGATGAAACCAACGCAAAACCTTTTCAAAGCCTATTTTCAGATTCCGGTTACAAATCTCAAAAATCTCGAATTTAGAACCTTAAAGACGAATATTGTAATGAGGAAAGATTTGATTGTTTTATTTTATTGTATAGGCTCCGAAATTACTGGATCGATTTTAAAAACTCTTTTATATTTAAAATCATACATTATCTCTGATGAACATAGTCTATATAAAATTTGCAAAAAAGTTAGGGTTCCGTATGAAAATTTCGATAATGTAGTAACCCAACGTGTGCAAAAAATAACCTTTCATCGCTACGCTGCTTTAGACATAGACAATAGAGCAAAGTGGCGTTGTAAGCTTTACTAGATGACATCAAAATCTACAAAAAAGTTTTTGTCGCAACTAGAGGTTCCCTGCGGTTTCACCCGCGTTAGTTTGAGGAAAAGGATTATGGTGAGTCTAACTTAAGAGATGATGAGAGAAGATGGGAAAATTCTGTTGCGGATTTTTTTCTAAATCTTTTAAAGGGGAGCAATTCCGTCATATATGGTTTTAGAGTAACTTTAACCGTTGACGTAGCGCACCGAACGAAAGCTCACAAATGTAATATTTTTACCCGTTTACTATCCAGTAATATATTTTATCCATGTTTTATAATTATATAAAGAAAGTCATGGTGTATGAAACAAGCCTGATAACAAAAACTAAAGTTAAAACTACAACTCTACACCGAAGCGAAGCGAGGGCGTGCCACAAGTAAAATCATAAAAAGCGCAATGTAGAAACAAAAACAATGAGCATTCATAATGCGTTGCTTAAACTTTCAACTGCGAAATTACTTTTTAAGTCTTCATTTGAACTCAATAAAATAAAGTATGAACAAACGAAAATGGGCCAACTTGTATTTCAAGGGCTATTTCTTAAGCGTTGCGAAATTTACTTGATGTTTAGTTACCTTTAGCCTTTTCAATTTTTCAATACAATGAGTTTTTTTTCCATTGCAAAACAACTTTTTGAAAATTTCGTATTTCACAGAATTATATAAAACAATACTCTTTTGAAAGAATGAATGCCCTTAACTTTTCCTAACTTATTTGTTATCAAAAGAGTTGAGAAACTTACTTGATGGTTGGTAATTTTTTGCCTTTTCATTTTTCAATATAATAAGTTGTTATTTCCATTGAAAAACAAGTTGGTAAAACATTTCATCGGCACAGAATTATATAAAAACAATACTCTTTTGAACGAATGCCCTTAGCTTTTTCTAACTTATTTGTAATCAAAAGAGTTGAGTAATTTACTTGAAGGTTTGTTACTTTGAGCCTTTTCATTTTTCAATATAATAAGTTGTTTTTCCATTGAAAAAGAAGTTGGAAAACATTTCCGCGGTCACAGAATTATATAAAACAATACTCTTTTGAAAGAATGCCCTAAACTTTTTCTACCCTTTTTTGTAATCAAAAGTTGGCTAATTTATTGGGCAAATATTGTGGAAGATGCCTTAGAAATGTATTAAATGTTGTAATAAAACACTCAAAACATCGTAATATTTTCAAAGAACAAGTAATGTGTGTATGTATATGCGTTTTTTTCTTAAGTGAAACCTATTTTCGGAAGGAAATGGAAAAATCCTATGGAAAAGATGAAATGGAAATGCGTCACGAGCATCAGACTATATATTTATATATGTGTGTGTGTAGAATGCGTTCGCAGCTCTTCCAGAAGAGCATGAAAGTTGGAGGGTAATTCGGCGAAGGCTGAAACGCTGTGAGCGTCACTGAAACTAGCTAGAACCCATAGAAAAATGACGAAACGTCAATGTCTATTTGTGACATTATTGTATGGACTAAATCTAGTTTAAGTTAAATTGAGATTTAAACTAATTGCTGAAAGTGAAACTTAGCCCATAATTACGTTTATGCCAAATTGTCATTTTTTATAGGTTAAATCTAGTTTTAGTTGAATCAAGGTTTTGCAAATTTGCTGCAAGTTGGCCGTAATAGTAGAATCTTTTTGTTCAGGTATAAGTGCTCAGAAGCGTCGTTTGAAAGCGCAACAGACGCGGCCGGTGACGCGCGAACAGCGAGCTGAGATGAAGCAGCGCAAGTACCGGTATCTATATCAGGTCCGCACCGCGCACGGAGACGTTATATCGCAGGTACATACATATTAGTATTACTTACGACCAGTTTCAATCATCAACCTCCAGTAAAAGGTAAGGATAATTTAGTTCTGCTACTTAGAATAAGTTGTTATTATATCAAATAAAAAAAAAAACTTGGCGAAAAAGGTCTAGTAGGCTTATCTTTTACTGGAGTTTGATTATTGAAATTTGAAACTGGCCGTAGGTCAGTTTATATTTGATGTGAACATTTAATAAAGTGTTGTGTAGTAAAACATGTAATACACTTGAATCTCTCCTCCCTTGGTATGGAAACTAAAAACTAAAGTTATGCTGATTTTAAGCTTATTAGTGGATTGGGCAGTTTTCAAGTTCAGACAATCTATCAGTACCCTTAGTACGAAGCAATATACAATTGGAATAGTTGAATTCTATCTCGATACGCGTCATACGGCAAGAAGTTATGTATGAAAGATTTTGATTCTCTATTTTCTTCTTGATTCTTGTTCCGCCCGTTGTGGTCCTATTCGGATTTCCATACAAACTTCTTGACATTCGACGCGTATCGAGATCCAATTCCACTATTAGAATTCGATATATTTTAATTAATTTAAACTTGATTGACATTAAATTAAGCATCATTTCATGCTATAATATTGAGTATTCAGAAATCAATATATCTTTAATCAAATTGGATGTATAGTACAACTCTTTTGCATCGTCCTTAGTCGCATTTTTAGCTGCGAAGAAAATCGAGCGAGAAAAATACCCCGACAATAAAAGTATAATGTAACAACATTTCCAAATCATTATGTTGTTACAGCGTCAATACAATCATGATTTATTTAATATAGAAAACCTGTTGGAATAATTGGAACAGTTCAAACCCAAGCACTTTTGTCTGTAATATAATCAGACACTTTGTATTATATTTTAAGATTTTGCATCATGTAGTCCAGCTAACGAAAAGCAGCTTTAAGATTCTTAGCTTTAGCATAGCAAGGTATTATTTATTAGCAGCCGGCTGTTTGAATTTGACGACCTCAACCGAGTGGTTAGTACGCAGGGTTTCAAGTTGTCGCCTACTCAGAAGTCCTGGGTTAGAATCCCGGTGGGGCAAATGTAAGTATGACAAATACGAGCATTTGTACCGGAGTCGCGGATGTTTATATATATTTTATTTCTCGATAAATATCTAATATATAACATTCTCGTAAACGGCTCGACCGATTTTCGTAAATTTTATATGCGTATTCAGTAGGTCTGAGAATCGGACAACATATATTTTTCATTCCCTATAAATGTTAAGGGTGGTTAAACTTACCCTTAAACTTTAATTTTTTTTGGACAAAATATTTCGTTTTTATGTTTTTACGATACAGCATACAAAAATACTTAGAACCCTAAATTTTCACCCTTCTACCACCAACCCCTATTTTTATGGTTCAGCTAGTATATATTTGGAAAATATGTAAACTTCAGTCGTACGTGCAAGCGCTCCAGAAGAAGGCCCAATGCGGCAACTGGAGCGGCAGCGGCAGTGGCGGAGGCGGCGAGTGCAGTACCCTGCAATCTGACTCCACGCACCTCACCGTACTAGCGGGCTCCGAGCACGCGCCGCCCACCGACTCGGACGACGACCTTCACCAGATACGGGCCGCGCACTAGCTGCTGACGACACGCTATACCAGCTACAGGTACGTCATCAGCCTATTAACGTCCCCACTGCTGAGGCACAGGCCTTTTCTATGGATGGAATAGACGGCGGCGAGTGCAGCACCCTACAATCTGACTCCACGCACCTCACCGTACTAGCGGGCTCCGAGCACGCGTCGCCCACCGACTCGGACGACTACCTGCACCAGATACGGGCCGCGCACTAGCTGCTGACGACACGCTATACCAGCTACAGGTACGTCGTCATCAGCCTATTAATGTCCCCATTGTTGGGGCACAGGCCATTACTATGGATGGAATAGGAAGATTGGGCCATGACCCACCACGCGGGCCCAGTGCGGATTGGCGGGTGCTAACGACTGCATATGCAGTCGGGACCAACGACTTATAGGAGATTTTTGGTTACCCATCCAATGACCGACCACTGCGAAAGTTGCTGAAATTAAACGATCGCAGTCAAACGCGCTAACCACATGCGCCATCGAGCTCCTCTACAGGTACGTACCTGGGCGTTTTCCCTGCTCCCCATGACAACGGCTAACTAGAGCCGAGATCCGAGTCTCAGAGACGCCCTTTAGTTGAGCCGACCTCCTCCGGTTCCAGTAGTCTAAAGGCTCCAGACAGAGGAGACTACCCCCGTGGGGAGATGCCATCAGCTTGGAATACCTCTAGAGGCACTCACCAATTCTAGGTTTAAGGTCACCGTAGGATCTCGCCGTCCCCAACACGGTGACGCTGTAAAGATCATCTGCGACCAACAGCACACATATAAAAAAAAGCACTAGCTGCAGGTGACGGTGAAACCCATACTGTTTTCTGTGTTCAGTATCCCTAGCACCGACAGAAACACCAAAAGGTAGTGTTATTTTACTGTGGTATATGTAAGGTGGAAGTACCTTCCCCAGACGGGCGCGGGCGATCCAATTTAAGCTGATAATCCGCTGTGCCTTACCTCTCTTTAAATACAGTGGGGTTACCAATTTTTTTTCTATCAAATATAGTATTTTCGAAGCTGTTACCTCTAAAAATATAATATGATGACCTCAAAATAGATTACAAAAAAATGAAAAAAAAAATATAGTATGTGGTTAAAATATTTACTTTATTTTTGATATGAGTATATTTTTGCTGCTCTATACCTTAATTAATACTTCAGTTTTTATTTTAAGAAAGCTTTTACTGGCAAATGTATGCTTTAAGCAAAATATTTTTTGAAATATTGTATTGGATACCCTAATATAGTAGGATACTATATTATAGAGTAGGGTTGGCAACCCTGGGTGTCAGTGAAATCGATATTGTTTTCTGTGTTCAGTATCCCTAGCACGAACCTATATCGAATTTGAATAGTTTGCGAGTGCGAAATGTCATTGTCAATATTTTTTTTATAGATAGTTCCGACAAATGACTCCACCCCACCTGATGTTAAGTGACGGTGAAGTCCAGTCGTGAAGATAGCTGGTACAAACAAAATACAAAAATATTCATTATTCTTTCTACATCCAAGTTTACATGGTGTGGGTCTTCTTCTTTTTAGTTACCTGTATTAGTAGAAGATCACATACACTTAACATCTGGTGAGTGGGGCGCGTTTGTTGCGCTACTGATTAAACATGGAACTTCTTCTTTTCAGGTCGAATGCGGAAGATATTTTATTGAATAAAAGAAACCAAGAGTGATCCATACAATTTTCAGTCCATGTAACCAGTATTGTTATAAAATACCACATAGAGGTACTTATTTTCGGGCAAAATATGTAACATGGCGACTATTATTTAGCCCTAAAATTGATTATGCGTATAATATTTTTTTAAATGGCAACTTGGGCCTATTGATCTTAAAAAAAAACACGAAAAGATAGCATTTATGACGCAAAATGTAGGATACACGTAAGTTTAACTTATGGGTTGTTAGTTCTTGTGGCGTTTAGAAATAAATAAATGTTGAATAAATTAAAAAATTCGCCAATTCGTGTAAATTACTCATCGTTTTACTCGACAAATTGTTTTGAATATTAATCCGTCGATAATTATTCATGTATAGTATTTTTTAATCACTCGTATATTTGTAAATGTGAATTTAGTCGCCAACTTAGTATTTTATGTCACATTATTTACTCATGGATTAATAAGTATACACAATGCAATATTATTAAGAAAATAACACATAAATGTATTATTATAATTGTTGATCATAATATAATATTGTTTATCGTCTATTTTGTACTAAATGTGTTTTACGTGCTATGGTTAATCTTAAAAATAAAAGTTGGGAGTTTGAGAGTAAAGTTGAAATGAAAGTTAGTTGTAATTTCTACTGTTTGTTATTAGTTAAATGTTTGGCCTAAATCTAGCATGATTCTTTAAGCAGCAGTCACTCTTTTTCGTTATCTAAAGAGCACGTAAAATTATACTAACAATGTACGACGATCAAATATTCACTTGCATGTTATGCGGGGAAAAAATTCCATCTTGCGACCCTTCTAATGAAATTACTTTAACTTCAAGGTGACATTTTAATTACGTAAACTTCGTCCACTTTCATATAAGAGAAAAACAAGACCAGTTTGTTGAAATTTCCACGAAAGAAAACTTACAGGCTTTGTTTGCTCTTTGGTCATTGTGCAATGGCTTCGCTGAATTTTATTGCGACAAACAAGAATATCTGCCAAATGTGCCACCGTCGTATATTTGTATTTTCATATCGGTCTCTAAAGCCGTATTACTGTTTACATGTAATAAGTGTACAAACTAAGTAAAAAGGTATGGAGAAACTCAGTTCTTACAATATTTTTTATCGCATAGCGTATTATTTGAAAACAGTATCAATAAGCACTTTCACTAGGCGAGAATAATAATAAAGCTTTAATTATTGGTCGATTCCGTGGCCCATCAAACCACTAGTTTGGCTTCACGAGCGATTCGCTTGAAACAAAACTATTGATGCAGATAGCACCAATAGATGCTCGTATTTTTAAGCTTTGATCAGGTTTTGTAAAGTATAAGATGGCTTTAGTTATAAGTTTTATATCAGACACGAAGATTATCCTGTACTGCTCAAGAGAGCTCCTAAAAGTAAATTGTTTTCACAAAATTTTAGCTATTATGATCGAATTTGTAAAGCTTGACAACCAATACTTAATATAAGTTTAATTTACTCTTCACTCTTTTAGGAGTAAAGATCATGCCGTGACGGTCTATTCAAAGGTGAATAATATGAGCATTTGTTCTAATGCATTGATATATGCCTATAAAGTCTTACATCATTTGCCCCCATTTTACAAAACAAAGACTAAAGTTAAACCCCATATGAAAATTGTGGTGTTTTTTTAGGGTTCCGTAGTCCTGACAAGAAACCCGTATAGTTTCGTCATGTCCGTCCCATGGTTTTGCTTAGGGACTGTTCGCACTAGAGAGCTGTAATTTTGGGGAGATATGTATATCAATCATGCCGAAAAAATGGAAGAATAAAATGTTGAAATATATTTTTTTAGGGTAGCTCCTCTACATGTAACCTGGGGATGATTTTATTTTTCATCATCTACCCCATTGTGGGAGGTATCGCTGAATAGGTCCTTTAAAAGTACTTAGGGTTTCCTAAGACTATTTTCCTATTTAAGGATCCGTTTACGAAATATTGAACTTTAAAGTGCTAATTTTTGCTAAAGCTACACTATTGGCTTGAAGAACTTAGAAAAATTCATGATAATAGTGCCTTTCATAAATTTTTTAAGGAAAATTATAACGGTCAAAATAGATTTGTTAGTTAAACAATAATAGTCGTTCAACTGATGTATTAGAAAATTTCTTACGTAATAAAATAACCTTAGATGAAAACATTAAAAGTGACGTTGACGAAGTAATTGCTTAAAATATAGACACTCCTAAAATATATGGTGGTAATGACAGGCAACTACGGAACCCTACACTGTGCGAGGCACGACACGCACTTGGCTTGTTTTTATTTTTTAAAAAGAAATTACAGCATTATACCGGGGGTGGTCAAGGGTGGAAATCGAATTGTTTGAACTCAATCTTAAATTTAAATTTACTCTTTATTTTTTGCTAAAAAAAAAGGAAAGTTTAAATTGACGACTGTTACAATATTTACAGTATTATTCGAACGATTGTATTATTATTTGCTTGACATTTTGTTGTGTTCCGGTTTTTTTTTGAACGAATTTAATTATGACTGTGACATAGGAATTGAGATATTCCGTTGCACAAGCTAATAGATACTGTTTTTTTGTGGATTAGGATAATATTAAAATGATAATTGTTGTGGCTATTACAGATGATGATACAGTATGTAGTAGTACCTATACAATGCACAAAGATGAGTAGTTAATTAGAAAGGAAACGAAGTGATAAATCTGTGAAGAGAAAATATTCAGTTGTATTAAATTAACTGCATTTGAATTTATGTCTCTTCTGAAATTTGCTAAGATTTAGGCGTGCACACCATCCAATGATCTTGATCCGTGATTCTTGATTTCGTTTTCAATTCAGATGTGCAAAACTCCTAACCTTAAAATAATTATTTTTATCATAGCGTTATATATTTAGTTCGATTCTTATTAACACGTCTGTCGAAGTAGATAGACTAGACCTATTCTGTCTATCCACTTTGAATAAAAATTTGTAACTCGAATTATTTTTTATATTTTTGTAGTTGATGGTACGGGTCTGGGGAATCGAACGTTATTTCATTAATGCTCTAATTTTTATTTTGTGTAACATTTGCTAACAGCATTTGCAACAGAGCATTTTCTTGCCAAATCCTCTTATGGGAGGTGAACATTGCTTCAACTGTCCGTATTAGTGTATAGCGATAGCGATATGAAAGCACTATGCGATTTGGATGTGATGAACGGGTACACTCTTATGAAGAGTTAAACATAAGCTAATTTTAAGAAAAAAAACCTAATTAAGAAACGTATTTTATCAAATTGTAGCTATGTAATTATATAGATTCGAGAATTTACTAATCAG